CACCCAGAGCTTCAGGCTTCACCTGCTGTGATTGAGAGGGCAAACTGGGCCATGCCTCTTCCACCTTCATCTGCTGAGTAGAAGCAGGTTTGGCGTTGGCATGCATTTGCTTCTTTATCTCCTCCAACCACTCCCGTCGTTGCTCCTCATCTTTTTTCTTAGCTTCCTCCCGTTTAGCTTCCCATTCCCTGCGCCTCCTTATGGCCTCGTAAAAGTTTCTTTGTTTCTCTGCTTCTGTTAGAGGTGTGGGAATACTCGCTTCAGGAGATTTGGAAATGGCCGGATCAGCAGGCTTGGGAACGTTCGCTTCGGAAGGCTTGGAAATATCGGCTTCAGGGGGTTTAATGGTTTTTTCAGGAGCCTTGGGGACGCTCGCTTCGGAAGCTTTCACAACGGCCGGCTGTTGATTCCCCTTCTTGATCTCTTTGCGCTTTTCAGCCCCAGCAGCCTCGAGTGCCTGGCGCTTCTCAGCTCCGGCCGCTGCATGCTTGCGATCGGCATCTTTTGCGGCTTCGCTTCTTGCTTCAGCAACTTTCGAAGTCTTCAAAAATGGCACAAATTTGTGATTGTCTCTTGTCCTCGACACATCACCTCTTGATGCAGCGACAGAGGTGAGTTTTCCTCCTGGAGTGAAAGTCTTGGGGGTTTTCTCGACGGTGGTTTTAGCCAAAGTAGCCTCTTCTGCCTCGCGAACGATCCTTCTTCTTTCGGCTGCAGCTGCCTTTTCGTTCACGGCCACGTTCCAATTCCCAAGTTCAGCAGCCTTGGCCTTCTCCGCTTTGACGGCGTCCTGCCTCACAAGCTCAAGGAGTCTGAGCTCTTCACGGGCTTTGTCCTCCGCCTCTTGATACACCTTGACCTTTTCAGACGCTTCTTTTTCTGCAACTGCAGCTTTTTCGGCCAATTCAAGTGCTTTGCGCCTCCTGTCTTCAAGCGCTTCAGCATCTTTGGCTTTGCCGTCTTGCGCAGCTTTGCATCTTTTTTCTTCAAGAGCCTCGGCATCTATGCGGGCTACGGACATTTCAGAATTGGCTGTTTTGACCTTGTTTTTTTCGGTCTTTGTGAGCCTTTCGGCCTCTGCAACTTTAGCCCTTGCGTGTCCAATTTCCTTGAGCATTTCAGCTTCAGCAGCCTTGATCCGCTCTCCGAGGGCTTTTTCCTTTTCGGCCTCGATGGACTTGGCTAGATCGTCAGCTTCCTCTGCCTCTCTGCGCTTTGCATCCTCGGAAGCTTTTGCGGCTTCTTCTTGTTGGGTTTTGGCAATCTCCTGTGCTAGTTTGAGATCCTCTTCTTCTTGCTCCGCTTTTTGCTGCTCCTCCAAAGTTTTGGGCTTGACATCCCCGTCATTCTTTGCGGTTTCCTCTTCCTCACCCTTGACAGTTTGCTCTGCTGGCTTGCGGTCCGCATCTTCCTGCTCGGCTTTACGCCTTTCTTCTGCGAGGGACTTGTATTCCGGAGCTTGATCTCCCCTTGCCTTGAGGACCTCTGGCTTCTCGGGGTTATCCGGTTCCTTAGCAACCTTTGGCTTCTGGTGCTCAATCGGGTTAACTTGGGAGTCATCGGTCTTCGTTTCCCCTTTAGCTACCTTTTTCTGAGCGTTTTTGGCTTCTCCCAGTTTTTCATCGAGTAATTTGTCCAAGGCTCTTCCAGCTTCAAGTGATTCCTCTTTGCCAGCTTCAGAGATGCTTTGCGGCGGAGAGACTCCCGCTTGTGCTTGCTTCATGAGAGGTCCCGCGGAGCTGCTGATGTCTTCTTCTTCATTTTGCGGCTCTTCGAGTGCATCCCACGGAATTGGAACATTGTATCCTTCTTTTAACAATTTGATCATGATACTGTCATGGCGGCTTCTCTTTTCAGGCATGTGTTGAACGTGGTCCTTGTTCTTCTGTTCATCAATCGACGTTGAAACAGCACCGCCAGTCCCAGTTTCAAGCAACGTGATCCGCTCACGAAGTTTCTCTGCTCGTTTTCTTCCCTTTTTGAAGATTCTCGACAGGTTTTCGAAGAACGTGCCTTTGTCGAACGAGCTAGTTAATGTGGGAATAACGCCGTTACCATTGGGCAGCGGGGTAGCCAGCGAGGTGGTCTCGGCATCGAAGAGGGTGCCGTCTGAAGATGAGGCAGCATCCATCGGCTCTTCGATTCTATCGCCGGGTAAATCGTTGGGCTGGGTATCTTTGGACGCAGGTGCGTTGGAAGCAGTCTCGGAAAAAGGAGCGTAATCAAACATAGAGGCCATCGTACCCATAGGGGGCTCTGCAAGTCCCCGGGACTCGTCTTGTAACCGTCTTTGAAACGCGTCCAGAGATTCGTGTTGCAACTGGCCTTCAGCAACCTCTGATGTATCCGACGAATTATCGTCCGAGGAGTTCAATGATCGAGGTGGACGTAGAACATTACATAACTCGGGAATATCCGGGAACCCGGCTGCAGGTGCTTTACAAACGTCAGCCTCAAGATGTTCAGAATTGCTGGTTATGCATGTTTCGGTACATACCTTCATCATCGGGCTCAACATGGGTTGTGAGTTCAGCTTCTCCTCTTGCCCAGGCGTCGATATTCTGCCGTTCACCATCTCCCAGACTGCTCCAGTTGCCGTCAGCATTGAGATACTAATCATCGTTGCCGATGACAATGTACCCCTTGTCTTCGCTGTTGTCATCCGCTGGATCCTCTTGCGCAAGTTCCGGGACGGCGGGCTCGTGATTTTCTGGTTCAACCGACTGTTCCTCACTAGCAGACGATGGCGCTATACCACCGGGCGTGCCTTGGGCAAGCAACCTAGTCAGCAAATATGTGACTTGGAGAGGATGTCGTTACTTACCGGAAACTGCAGTTCTGTCTGGATTGACATATAAGGGCGGGAAGCTTTCAGGGTGAAGCTGAGGTGGGCTGAAGTCGATAGACGTTTCGGGAGCAGTAGGGCCCTCCGGAACCATTTGTGGTGGTTCTCCATGCAGATCAGTTGATTGTACATGAGTGTGGTCTTCTTCCCTTGGCTCAACTGGTTGATCCGGGCCATCAACTGGTAGGAAGTTGTCGTGGGAACCTTCTGACTCAGACGGCTCTTCAGGTATTGTGCTAAGCCTCTTGTCATTATCACTAGAGCTCTGACCCTGTGTAAAAGACTCGTAACCGGTCTCTTCTTCATAGTCTGCCAGCTCCGACCCTGGCGACTCCAGCTCCGGGAAATCTGACTCTGGAGGCGCCACATCCGCAGCAGCGGGGGTTGCCTCACCTGGTAGCGGGATTGTAGTGACTTGTACGTCATCTTTCTCAGCGGTGTCCTCAATATCATCTTCAGCGGCTGGTTCCGGTACCGCTGCCGGTGGTAGTGGTTCTTGGCCAAGTTCTTCCTCCACCTCATCGGCCTACGATGGGACCGGCTTCGGAGCCTTGACTTCTTCCTTGGGCTGCTCTGTGTCGCTCGCCAGGGCTGGAGGTACTAGCGAGGTGGTCGCGGTAGGCTCAGGTTTCGGGAGAGGGACGCTCTCTGGGAAGAACTGCTCGAAGACGAGCTGCTTGAAGCTCTGGCCTGCCATTTTGGGCAGCTACTGGCGAGCGGTTGGAGTCGCGTTCTTGGAGGCTTCAAGCAAAGAAAAAAAAACACGCGACGGGGCACTTGGAGGGCAGGTCTGGGTGGCTGTAGCGACAGGTTTATTAGCTTCCAGATTCCGTGAATCTTTCAAAAGCTACGATAGCCAACAAGGGAGGAGGTATTAGGGATCCTGTACATATTTTAGCTGCTCTCAAGTCCAAGGCGAGAACTCTTGTGAGAGAGAGCGGTGCCGTTGCACGCCGAGCCGTCGCGAGTGCGGAATACGGTCGTGATTTCGATGGTTGTGATACTGATAACGAGTGTATAGCGATAGTTGACGATCGTAACAGCTGCTATGCTGAAGATGCTGCCAGAAAGAAAGCCGGCGCGGTGACCTGCGGCGGAAAACAATATCGATGGTTGGTGCTGTTTGGATAAGGTGACTTCGGAGGGGGCTGCGGTCATGTACTGAGATGCCCATGGGCTGATTTGGGTTGCCGGTCAGTGGCGGGGTAGGCGCGCTTGCTCTCGACATCGTGGCCATGGCGTGGGAAGCTGCTGTCAAGAATTTAGAAATTGGCGATTACTACCTCTAGGTATCGAGCCTACTGTGCAAGTTGGAAGGCAGAGGGAGGAACATAACTGAAGCCGGATGCAGCTTGGGTGCGAAAAGTGCAGGCGGAGGTCGCGGCCCGTCTCAAGAAGACCCCCACGCCTTTTGCCGACCCCCTTCTCTCCACTCGCAACACCACGCTTCAAAATGTAGTTAATTCTGACCCAGGAAAAGCAAGAAAGCAAAGGTGCTTCAGTCGAGTGTGCATGTTGCTACTACTGTTTACCACTTTACTGACTTGTTTCAGTTGCTATCCTTTACCGACGGGAACCAACACGTGCTTACCTCATTTTACCATGTCGTACACTTCCTGTCGCCCATTCGCCGCTCTTCTTGCCTCTCGCTACCTTAGGTACCTGCGTGACTGAGTCCTAGCAGCTTCCCTTAAGTTGGTTGAGGACTTGCCCCTGGCTTGGCCTGTTTCGTTCCAGTCTCTGTATGTTTAACGTTCGCTCTATGCGTGCTGCTCCTTTGGTAGGAGCTCGATCGAGCTGCCGCAAGGGCCCCAACAGGTCTCTTTTTTTTTGTTTCTTTTTTCTTCTTTTTTTCTCGTCTTCACTTTATGACAGTGCAAGTCCAGACACTATCGTAGAGAGCCGCCATTGTCTCAGATACATTTCCCGTCACATTTTGCAAATGGAATTCAAGATGTCGATCAACTTTCATATATTTTTTGCTGTCTATCATATCCTTCCGTCTACAATCTGATGGCCATGTGACTGTTGTTTTGCCTATTTTTCAACTTTTGGTATTCGGTGAACCCGCTTTAGACCCTCCCACTTGTTTCATGTCCCGCTTCCCCCTCAGCCACTTCCAGGAATTGCCGTCAGTCCCCTCCTCCCCAGGCCCCTACCAATCATCATCATCATCCAAATCCGCCCAACTCCTCGGCTCATCCAAATAAAACGTCCCTCCCTCCGACACCGTAACTGTTATCTCCGGCACGCCCTCCAGCTTCTTCTCCAGCGGCGCAAACTTCGACAACACCCAATTATCCCTCTGCAACCTGCACTGTCCCCTCACCACCTGCTCCCTCTGTTCCTCATCCATCACCCTCTTCCACGTATCCAGATACCCATAATGATCGATAAAGTTCAGACTGAGCCAACGCCGGTTCATGCACAGCCGGTTCCAAGGCAGAGGGTCATCAAGCCAGAACGTGTCGCCCTCCGGGGTCGTGACGGTCAGCTCGGGCACGGGAAGGGACGGTTGGTGCTGGCTAGAGGCGTCGACAGGGCCGAGGTAGTGCGTGATGGTCTGCTTTGGCTTGTAAGCTTCGAAAAGGCCCACCCAGTGGCAGTGCTGGAGGTATTGTCGGCTGGGATCGAAGTTGGCGTCGTGGACACGTTGGTAGGTGTCGAGATGGCCCGTGGCGTCGATGAAGGCGTGGTCTTCCCAGTTAAAGACGTAGGGCTCGAGGTCGTCATCATCTGGGTAGATGGTCTCGGTGTCGTCGTCGATGGACCCTTTTGTCGGTTCTTGGGGCTGCTCGGGAGGCATGGATGTATTGGCGGCGACGGGGCTTTGTGTGTTGGCTGACTCCAGACCCGCGTTGCCGATGGCTTGGAATTGGCTGGGGTTGGGTTCAGCCGGGGTTAAAACCGGGTCTTCCGAGTTCTGCAACTCAATGGCCGCCTCGTTATCCTTTGCAACGTCAGCTTCATTAACCTCTTCCTGTTCCTCAATCTCGGACGGCTCTTCCTTCCCGTCCTCGACCTTGAGCCTCTCGCTTCCCATCTGAGCTTCTCCGTCGACTTTCGAACCCTGGGTGTGGGATTCAAAAGGCGCCTTCACCACGCCATCGACAAGCTCAGCTAGGCACCCCTCATCCTATTGAGGGATTTGCTCCAGTGAGCTGTCAAGGCGGTCCGTCTCTTCATGATCCGGTCGAAAAGAGATGATGGCTCTGGCTCTATTGACGGCATCCTCTTCGTCGTCGGAGAAATTCTCAGCTACGCTAGTGGCCTTGTTGGAGCCGCCACCTTCGTGGGAGGGAGAATAGAGCGGAAGGCCAATCTCGGAGAGGTCGGAGGAGCAGCGAGTGGACGGAAACAAAATCTCGGAGGGGAGATGGGTTTCCACGGAAGTGACGGAGGTAAGGCTGGTAAGAGAGTCGATTAACTCGCCGAGGTCCAGAGAAGAGCCGGTGCTCTCTGAAGGCGGAGAGGTGTTGACGTCGGGAGAGTAAGCCCTGAGATGGAAGTTCACAACCGTTGTGGTGTCCACTTCCCGGCTTGTGGCGTCAAAGACAGGAGAGGTCTTGTCCCTGCGAACAGGCGAATCGTCGCCGTCGCTGCATGAAGGAGGAGGGGATGGGTACGCGGAGGAAGGGCCCCTGACGAAGGAAGACGTGCGGGTTTGGTCGATCGAGTACCGTGCTCTTCTTGATTTGGGCTTTTTGGGCTCAACCCCCCGGCGGATTTTGGAGTCGTTGGTCCTTCTGGTCCCGCTGTAAAAAGTCAGTATTCGCTGAAAGACTGCTGAGCTCGAAGTGATAAGAGTCCGAACATGCCTCAACAAGAAAGAACGCACAAAGTGCTTAACAACCCCAGCGAGATCCTTGACAACCTGGCTTGCAGTAGCGACAGGCTCTTCGTGAGCGCTTTTCAACTTCGTCACCACCACGACGGCCTTGTCGATGACGCGAGAAGTAACGACAATGGGCGCCTTGCAGACGGCTTTGATCTGCTTCCGGACAATGTCGATATTGTCAATCACCTTGGTAATACCAACGGCCAGAGGATTATCGCCATGGTCGTAGTCAAAGTCGGCTTCGATGGGCTGGAAGTGGCCGACGGCGTGCGAGATGGTCGGGCGGAGGATGGGGACAACGATCTGGTACATGAGGGGCGTGGCGAGGCGGGCGACCGTTCCGATCAGGAGGGAGAACATGTTGGCTTTGTTATCCTTTGGGTGCACTTGATGTCTGGAAAAATGGAAAAGTGATGGCGGGTGATGCCTGCAGACTGTTGTCGGATTGGAGTTCGCTGGTGTGTAGTTGCGGGACGGAAAAGATGTGTCGAGTGTTGGTTGACTTTCGTCGAATGGGAATTGGATTTTGTAGTTTTGATGACGGAAGAAGTTCAGTCGATCGATAAGCTTTGACTATAAAACGTAAAAAAAAGGTTGAGGTTCGGAGGGGGGTTGCCTACCTAAGGTTGGAGCATATGCACAGAGGTTGCGTAATTGCGGACTCCGGTGCATGGTGAAGGTGAAGAATATCAGCTGGCAGCAGTCCGGACTTCCGGCAGGCTATCGAGGGCTCGAGAACCTTGATGTTGAGATCCAGGTCAGTAAGCCAGTTCGGGTGCAAGGCTGCAAGGCTACTATACATGGGACGAAAGGGAAGGGGCAGAAGGGGGAGTGAAGGGCGGTTTGTTTACTTTCAAGGTATGACGAAAAAGGGGGCCCATGAAGGGTAGTCCGCGCACGGACCATGTAAGGGAAAAGGTTCCTTGTTTCTGATGCTGGACATCTGGTATTCACTCAATTGTATCTGCAAATAGGAGGCGTTTCGATATTATACTAACGGTGCATCAAAGAACATCGGCTATTTTCTTGGCTGTAAGACTTTTGTTGCTTCCATGTCCGTAATTCTTGGGGTGGTGAGGGACAGAAAATGGCTGCACGACAAATGTGATGAACCCGTTCATCTGCATTAGACACCTGAATCGTAGTGTAGTTTGCGCACTGACCGCTTCTAACTTGCGGCCAATATGAAATAAAGCGCTTGGCGCTTCTTTCAACAAAGCCCGATTAGCTCAGCTGGTTAGAGCGTCGTACTAATATCGGTTCTTCTGATATCAAGTTCATGCGAAGGTCAACAGTTCAATCCTGTTATTGGGCATTCTTTTTTCATTTGTGTTGATCCTGTCCTCGTCTGCAATATTTTTCCTTCAACAGTTGGCTTCTTTTGGTCTCATACTATCTATCTCGACAATTGATGAGTGCTATAACTGCCCCGATCGGGTGCAGTTAGATGGCCAAGGAAATGTGGTGTACCAGGGACCCATTCGTGCAGAACCAATCAAGGCGGTCAAGACGGCAACTGGACAACTGATATATAAGATGGACGCACACAAGACCCTGTTTACCCACGAGTTCAAGACCCTCCTGATGAGCAACAATGTCGACCGTTTGGCACACGCCCTCAGCAAACTCAACAGCTCGACCGAGATCGACAGCGAGTCACGCAGTCGCTCACCAAACACAATTGACACCCAACCTATGGCGAACCGCGAGACACACAATTTGGCTTCACATTTCAGGTCCCATGTGAAAAGCCCCCATCCAGGATATAGCGGTCATGCAAGCAGAATTGGTTTTGCAGCTTGTCATGCGCATTTTGAGAATATTAATTACATTTCGCGCAATCCCCAAACAGCATTATCCCGAGTTTGCGCAGCAAGCCAACATTGACTTTTATTGGTAGTATAGCTTTTTGCTTTGGGACCATCATCACCCCCTGTTCAAGTCCGTCTAATGGTAGCGCTTTGGCAATCTGCAGTTGTTGGAAACAATACAGGAGAAAAAAGTACAGAAAGAATGTAGTCTAGCGCCTTCGCTCGTATAAGTATTTGGAGAACAAAGGAACGACGGAGAAAACGAAACGAGAATTGATTGCGATACCATCGCCATTACTCAATCAGCATCCAAATACTGTCCCACCCCGGATGGGAGCGTGAACCTGACTCTGGCCGGACTCTGCGAACGTGAACGTCGCCGTGACCAGCTCCTCTCTTCCCCCAAAGAGCTTGAAGACGATGACGACGATATGACGCTTGGTGGCTCTTCGCCAATATTGTCCGACAAACCTAAGCTACTTGTCGCAGAAGTAGTTGACTCATACCTTGGCGGTTGATACCTCCTTGTCGATGTCGATATCGCGGGTGCTGAGATAGAGGTGGCATGAACCGCAGGAACTGACGCTTGGACAACGCTCACGCTAGTAGGTTGTGATCTCCTCATTCGTCTGCGCTCGTGAGCTACCTGCTCGTGTCGTTGTAGGTGTTGAGGTACCCGCTCGTGGCTTCTTCGACTGCTCCTTTCATGGGCGGCTCGTCCGGAGATGTATATCAGCGGTGGTGGATGGTAAGGATTGTCTTGACCATATCTACCCCTGACCGCTAGCCTGTCGTCGAGGTCGTCGTACTTGTGCTTTGACCTCTCGGGTGGATGGACGTCATTAGTTTCCCATTCTTCGGTAGTAGGGCTGGATACGTCCACCACTGCTTGTCGGCCCGGATGCGGGAATTCTCGATGTCGAGAAACAGAGAGATCGCGTTGATGATGTAACCGTCCAGTCCCGTGTGAAACTGGACGGGACTTCCGTTTAGAGCTTTGCTCAGGTGCATTGGATTGGATGACCTTGACCACCTTGGTTGTATGTCCTTTTTCTACTTCTTCGCTTGGTGCTGCTCGCTCTCTACGGTCGCCGTTTCGGATTCCGGCCATTGTTGGCCTGTGCGGGTAGCGCATGGTTGACGAGTATCTGACAGACATGGTGGTGGTGGCTGCTTTGGCTGATGATGGCCAAGTTGATGCTGAAGTCTTTGGTGTTGAACGGCGACGGCAGAGACACCAGACGATGAAGGAGAAGATGATTGTGCCGAAGAAGACACCGAAGACGATTCCAAGTGCTACGGCAGAACTGTGCGCGGATGATGATGTTTCTGCAAGCACGGGCGACGAGAAACAGGTTGGAGTTTCTAGTATGGCGAGTACCTTCGTCGGGAGGAAGGGTGTCGCTCTTAACGTGGTAGCTGTCTCAGTCACAGAAGGAAGAGCGCAACTTGTCTCAGAGGGCTGAAATTGACGTTGACTTGGAGCTGGAAGAGTGTCGGAGATTGGCTGAGGTGCCACTGCTTGATGGCTTCGTTTTCTTGGTGCTGCCAGTCCCATTTTGTAGTACGAATAAGACAGGTCTTGAAGATCGTGAGGTTTGTTCCCAGGTTATGCTGATGTTGAACACAACGGAAGACAACCCAGAAAGAGCGGTAAAGAACTCGGAAAGCAGTTCCTTCCATTTTGAAGCCTACCTTGTTATCTTCCGTTGGTGCTCTTTTTCGGTGAAGCTATTGGGTTTCCGTTGTCCATTCGGAAGCATGTTGACTTCCTGGCCGTAGTCTAAGCATCGCACCGGTCTCACAGTCGTCCGCGCCCGTAAGTCGAGGAATAGCCGCAAACGAACCATGTTCTCCCTGCTGGAGATCCCACTGGCTGAACCCCCCCCTGACCGCTCAATATTATCACCTCGATCATCGATATCCCGGTCCCTCTTCCGAGACCTCCAAATTACTCCACAGTCGGATCGGAATCTTGCTCGGATCGCGCTCGTTCTAGATGCGTGGGCATGATGCGAGGCATGACGCTTGCAATCCGCGCGCTTGCCCACTCAGGGCAATGGGATGGACAAATAGGGCTGCCAACGCATGATTTGGGTGAGTGGGGACCGGATTGATGCTGTTTTCTCAGACCGACTCCGACGGAACGGGTCGAACATGTCCGGATGTTCCTCGCTGGGATTCGTGAGCAGATCGACCATTCGAGGATATGAGGTAAGAAGCCACAGTGGCACGACCTGACCCGAGAGCAGGAGCGCCTTCGAGTGACAGTGCCGTGTCCATTTGCGTTGACCGTGAAGGACTGTGAGCAGCCGAATAGAAAATCAAGGCGACATCGTCAGATACAAGTGAGTGGATGTGAGTCGCGCGGCGATTGCCATGGCCGGCAGGGAGCTATGGATAGGTAAGTAGTCAAGATCTTGACCGCAAGCCTAGGGAAACACGGCGTCGGCGGATAATGTTGCCTGCGTTATCCATGAACGCAAATCGCTGAAACAGGATCGAGGGAAAATCCGGGATTGTGGGAGAAACTCACAGGATTGGAACGGCTGCTATTTATCTCGTCAGGTACGACAGAGCGGTGGGATCCACTAGGCTGAGAGGCGTCAATAGGATCATGCCAGATATGAAGTGGCGCCTGCACGTCTGCTTTCCGCATATTGTCTGTGCCACGCGAGATCCGAACGTTTGCATCATGCATCTTCACCGCCAGGGGTGCCCGCTGTGGCAGACAAACGCATGCACAATATCTTGACATTGTTCAGCTTGTGGCTGAAAGTTGAGGCCGGTGTAAAAGTCGCGTGTTTGGTTGAAATGCCAAGTATAATTGTTCAAGATTCGTCAACTTGTTCGGTGTCGCGCAAATTGACCAAGAACAGGAGAAATTGGGATTTCAGAGAAAGGGGCAGCACAACTGGAATATTTACTATAGTAGAAGAAACGAATCTGATTGTGAAGTTTAGTCTAGTATGAAAAAGGCTGTCGAGGGAGAAAAACAAAAGAGTCGATGTGCGACTTCCGATCGTTCTCTGTGCACCCTCAACATCATGATATCTCAAGTTCCTGCAATCCATCAAATGTCTAAAATCATCCCAACATCTTGCCATCCTGAACATAGGTAATCCATCGTTTAACCGTGAACGGTGATGGAAGCAGATCCACTGCTCTGGTATCCCTCAGTGGCCACGATCTGGTAGTTGTGGGTGCCCAAGTGCAGGCCAGCCTTGGCCCACGCGTTGAAGTGGTTGGCCATGGTGACGGTACCACCGGTGCGCTTCTGCTGGCGGACCGACCAGTACTGGTTGAAGGTGCGGGTGCCGTCAATGGACGGCTGGTTGTAGCGGGTAGTCTTGTAGATGTCGTAGGTGGAGCCGTCGGTGTAGACGGATCCGAGACGCTGGGAGCCCGACGAAGGGTTGTAGGAGCCAAAGTTCTCGACGACGTAGTACTCGACAAGCGGGTTGCGGGTCCAGCCGTAGACGGACAGGTAGCCGTTGCCGGAGGGGTTGAAGTAACCCGAGTAGGTGATGGTGCGAGCCGAACCGGGGTTCCAGCCCTTGCCGGCGACAAAGTTGCCGGCGTTCTGCCAGTTCACAGAGTAAGAGCCGCCGGCGCCGTTGGCGTAGTTGACATTGCCGCCGTTGTCGGTCCAGAAGGAGTAGTAGAAGCCGTTGTTGAAGCCGGTGCTGCTGGGGGTACCGCCGCGCTCGGCGAGCTCAGAGAACTCGGTGGCGTTGAAGGGCATAGCGAGGGCACCGGCAGCGCCGAGGAGGAGGGACTTGATGGAGACCATTGTGTCTGAATTATGGGAAACTCGGGTGAAGAGGCTGGCTGCTGGCTGATGGCTGATGATGGGGATAGAGAAACAAGAAGTCGAAACACGACGATCCTGAAGGTCTTATATATCCATTCAAGCTTGTCTTTCGAACTCCTTGTCGTCGCTTTTGATTGACAGGACCGGTTTAGGCAATCCCATCGTTTCTCCTGGTTAACTCGTTGTCGTCGTCCCTGTCACCTTGGAGAGAGCCATCCTGGCGACTCTGATGCCGAGATCCGGATGCTTTGCCTTTGTCATAGCATACAATTTAGTTCAAACGTACCTGGTCCCTGGAGGTGGTCTCGGGTAGGGTTGTATCGATGACACCCGAACTTCACGCTTAGTCGGGTCCCCGTACCCAAGATGGGAATATGTAGTGTAATTCCATTCTACAAACACTACCCCGGCTTTTCTTGGCGGAGGGAGTGGCTCCGTATATGGCCTTCAGGCTGAATGAAGGGATCACTGGGGCCCCACAGCGTAGCTCGGTCACGGACGTCGACGGCTTCCATCGAGCTTCCATTTTCGTCAGTTCGGTGTTTGAGAATCCTTGCAGTGGTTATCGCAGACGGAGGCTGGCCTTGCTGAAACAAGAGATATTCCACCATTCAACCCTATCAGGTCCTGGAACAGGGCAGGGTGTCGTTCACTACAACCTTCCACTTGGCACGCTTCAGCTGAGCATTTAGCCCCTGCTGTCCTACCTTTGGAGGACCTTCACCCTCATCGACGGATCGCTACGTAGTTTTGTTCTTCAAGTCGGCTTTGTCGTTCGGTTGGGTGGTTTTACAACATTTCCGATTCCCGGGACGTAGGCCGAGCTTCTTGCTTGTCCAGCCTCATCTCTGAGCACCCCAGTCGGAGAACATGTTTTTTCTATCCTCGAAAATCTCGGTTGGTCGCTGAACATTTATGCGTTGAGTCGGTGAGGGCGACGATGGCATGCTATCCCGGGCAGTGGGCTGTTCGGCATCCCCTATAACCACTGTATTTTGCCCGCTGATCGAGAAAGACGGAGGGAAGCTTGGCGTGCCCCTGTTCGCCCCACCCTTCCTTCAATTTCACACCGATTTCGGTTTGTTTCCACTTCTCGGGACAACTAGTGTCCCCGCACTCTCGGTAAGTGGCCCGGGGAATCTGCAGAAAATCAAATCGAACCGAACCAAGATACCAACCAATCTTTCCCAAAACAAAAGGTGGGCGGGATTTTGCGGTGAGGTGAGAGAGTGTCGGAAGTCTCGACCACTCAGGGGAAAGAACAGTCTGGACAGCCCGTGCCTGCCTCAAAAGGCATGACGGGAGCACAGGGGCGAGAGGAAGAGTTGACAACTCTTGGAAGGAGCAACTGGTCACAGAACCGGATTGGACCTAATCGAGTAGAATCACATTTCGTCGACTTGTCGAAGCCAGTTCCAGCTTTGGATTTTCTCTGCTTGTCCCCAAACCTCTTCAGTCGAACAACATTCATCCGGAATCCAGGTATCTCGGCGGCAGCGTGTGACGGTCCAGGCAATCCGGAACCACCAACGGCCAAGGAGAACGAACGAGCGAACCACAACCTTGATTCGCAGCTCAAGGAAGTTCGTTTGACCTTCCTGAACAATCCCGGGAGCCCTTTCCGCATTTTTTTTGTCAGCGACTGGTCTGTTTTTGCCTTTTCTTTGCGAGTGTCCAACAACCACAACGTCTCACTTCCGTTCCGCTTTAGTACATAACGCAATCCAGAACTGAGCTCGCACCATCCATAAGCAAGTGTTGCGCCATGACCTAGCACATACGACCATACCCACTGGAAAACTCGGGATCCCGTCCGCTCTCCCATAGATAAGCCAGTGAGGGCCAGACTAGTAGTTGGGTCGGTGACGACCAGCGAATCCCTGGTGTTGTATGTTTTTTTTTTCTTTTTTGTTTCATCTGTGCGGGATAGAACCTCTGTTCTGTGTCTTGGTATGTATGCTACCTCTATACATCATCACATCAGCGTGCAAAACTTGTTTTTTTTTTTTCCCTTTTCTGAAATCCCGTTCTTGGCATCAGTTTCAACTTGATTCTTCAGCTCATCTGGTGACTTTGTTGCATAAACATTGTTACCTCATGTTCTCCCTATTTATCCGTTCTGTTTGTCCACTGTCTCGACCATCTATCCGCGCCTCAGAACAACTTTCGACTTTCCTCACCACTCCGGATTCCCCATCGCTGCCTGACATTCACTTCCACACATGGCTTTGGCTACCAGCCATTCCTGCCCAGGCGCAGCTTGGCACCTTTGCTCCCATAACCGATGGCACTTGACCTTGCCCCTGACGCATGAATCTTGTCATCCTAGCCCTCACCGCTTGATCCCTCACCACTGCACCTCTTCCGAAATCTTGCTGCCAGCAAACTAGGTAACCGGCGCGACATCTCCCAATGGAAAGCCATCGATCAAGACAAGCCGGCCCAAAAATAAAACAGAAAACATTCGTCTTTTCGTTTCTTCTCGAGGAATTGTCCACCTCTGTCTCCCTGGTCATTCTCCGAAAAAAAAGAAGCCTTCGGAATTGATCTCTCCGTCTGCAATTGCCCTGCGGTACCAACTTCCCCCTGCCTTAGCCATCCATATCCTGAGTCCGACCCTCGAACTTGAGTCCTTCCCTCCTTGCCCAACTCCTCCCTTCACCTTTCTCTGCCTCGACAATACCAAACCCACTGCGTCGTCTCCCCATACCATTAACAAAGGGCCCCAGACACTTGGAACTCAAGTTCATCATGTTCATGTTCTCGTTTGTCCCACAATATTTCGAATTTCCGGCACCAGCGGGCTGTAGGGACTCAGAGCCGAGTGCTGGGTTGCTAGTTGCAGTGGTAGGTTGTATTGGGAGCAGAAGCGAAAGGCGGACTCTGGGCTGGGCGAGGCGTGCCAGGAGGGGAAGAGAGAAAAGAGGAGGTAGCTCGCAAGGGGGATACGGATGCGGGGGGTTAATAGCCGGGGACCAACTCGGTTACCAGGGGTGTGCATTCCGACTGCTGAACCCCTTTGTTGATGGTGGTAAGATTGTTGAGGTGACGGACGAGTAAGTAAAGAGGTATGAGAACAGATGTGCCCGTGATCATGAAGATGAGAGTGGGAAGGAAAGGTCTAACTTGATCTTGCTGAGGATGGAGAGGAACGTAGACAGAAGACTGGGAGTAACTGTTCTACGTATACAAGCATAAGGAGCTCTAGAATTCAGTTCTCCGAAGCCACTTATGCGACGATGCAGCCGACGTACTGGTAGAGCTGGTTATCGAACTGAGCGAACTCACCCTCGATATTCTTCTGACCCCTTTCGTACACCTGCTCCTTCTCCTTTCTCTTCTCTTCTCTTCGACCTCCTCCTCTTCCCCACCACGGCATTCCCTTCCCCTCGTGACCTCCAGCACTCTCTCTCCCTACCCAGTAGTATAATCACCCCCCAAACCCACCACAACCTCTTCCTTCCCTATTACCCACGTTCATCGCCTCTCTTCCTTCGCCACTCCCAGCGTCTCTTTACATCCCCAGCACCACTCGTATTCCCCCAACTCTAACCCAACTCCTGACCCTGGCCCAGCTCCTAGCCCAAGTTCCCGACCCCGCCACCCTCCAGAACCCCTCCCCCATCAACTCCCCGTCCTCTCCATATTGGTTACAGGTTCATAGACCACCTTTCCTAGCCTCGTATTGAAGCAAGGCCTTGCAGAGTCTGGATTAGATTGCTCCTCTTCATCGTCATCGCAGGGAAGCTAACAGAAAGGTGTGGAGACATTGTTCTAGGTTTCGTTGGAGGAAGGACGGGGGGGTGGGTACGAGGATAAGTGGTAGGATGAGAAGCTGAGGGGTTGGAGGCTGCAATGTTGAAGACAAACGGGTTGGAGAGTACGGGGACGTTGTAAAGTAAAGGATAGGAGGAGGACGATGGGAAGAAGGCTGTGTTGTTGCCGGACGGTGTGGATGTGCCGGTTGAGGGTTCGCGGAGGTTTACATGAGGAAGCTGTCTGGAAGAGCAAAGTCTATGGAGTGTGGGGGTTTTGCGATGGCGTTGCGAAGGGGTGAGATTTGAGAACCAGAATGAGTGGGGATATGGGGGGACGTGATGGGTTGGGTGTTGAGAATACTCTGAAGGAACACGAATTGGACCTTGTCCAGCCCCGTGGTGTTGGTGTTGGTATTGGGGAGTATGGTAGGGACTGTCACTTAGGCCACTGATCCTTTAATACAGACGGGGCTCATGAGAATTCGGGGATCTAGTGTAATCTTGAGGTTGTGGATATGCTCGAAGGATACGGTTTTGGAATTTGATATCGAGGTTCTTTAGGGGGTTATGGAGGGGCAGGCAGAATGTGGTTTGCGCTTTGTGCGGATTGTAAAGGATTACGACTTGGATCTTGCCCGTAATGTTAGTTGGTGTTGAGAGACTTGGTTACTGATATTGCTTAGGCTCGCACCCTCCTTGATGCAAAGGGGGTATGAATTTAGAAATATTGCTGTGGAGGTCGTACTGTTGCTAGACTAGTTTGGTTTGGAGCGCGTTGCATAGCCCACGGGCCGGTGGGTATGGCAGTACTTGCATTCGTAGGGTCGGGGTTGTCCTGAGGAGGAAGATGACCTGTGATGACGAGCTGCTCTAACCGGTGGTTCCCGAACCATACTCGGCCCCCTGGATGTCGACATATGTCGGGTATGAGCGCCCCCTCATATCGGAATAGACCGCTGATGGTTGATGTTCAGGGTCCTGCTGTGTAGGGGCTTTGGGATGCTAGCTTCGCAACTAGTGCGTCTTAGAGCGGTGATCGTGGGCATGCCGTTACCTCCATGGTTCTGGCGGTCTTGTCCACTTGGCGGTCGACCATAATGCCCACAGGGACATAGTTTGGGGTTCCTATTCCGGTCAGTGATCTATGGGCATTGATCTCGTGTTCCTACCAAGCACTTGCTCCGATCGAAAAGTGTACCTAAGCTCATGTATATGACTGCTCATTCAAGCAATGACTGAGCATATCACATTGCTTTACCGTTCAGGCAACCAAACAGTTTCCACAAGCAGTAAATAGAAGCCTTTGGATGTTTCCTGTCTTACCCATAACACAAAAACTGTGTCATCCTTTCAGGGAATTGGTCTTCTCATCCAATGAAGCACATTTGTCCTTCAAGGTGGGCTTCAAAACTAGTTCAAAGCACTGCTTGTCTTGATAGCAGAGGGCATGGCCGTGCTATTCAGCAGACGCGGCTTGGCAGCCCTGGATGTATCAGCCGTCCTCACCACTTTGAACTCTGAGTTTACGGGGTATGCGCTCGTAGAAACTCCATCGGTTCATCCATCTCAACGCTGTTTGGACAGAGACAAGTGAGCTCTCGTCGTCGTGCTCGCGTTACCGTGGTGTCGGTATCCGAACCCCGGACTGGTCCGTGCACTCGTGAGCCTCGGCGAAAGAATTAGACGTGGCACGTGTGAGTGACTGCCGTCTTCTTTAGCGAACTTGTTAGCCGTGAACCCTTGTCGTCGACACGCAGCAAGTGATCGACACCAATGCGGCATCACACTGTTGCAGCAAGCAATGTCCAGCATTGATGTTTCAGTCGGGTGTCTAGACGGGAAGCGTGTCTTGCCTGTGAAGCTGTCATCGGCTCATAGAGGCAAGACTGGGCTGTAGCCGAGGAGGGAGCCTGCCCCAGGCTTATGACACACCGAGAAACGTTTGTACCAATTCGACGGACCCAAGTTGCTGTCGTGGTGGTCATATTCGAAACGGCCAACTTGGAATTCCAACCATGCGACGCAACATTACAACTGCCACCCGACCCGGCAGCATCTTTTTCAGAGTGACACGTGACAGCATCTATCACTTCTGCGCAATGGGGTCGCTTTCGGGGACCATCGGTGACCTTGAGCCCCTTGTCCGTGGATCTCAGAGTTGTTGCCTCCGACGCCGAGTCGCGATGAAGAACGAGAGTACAATACTTGCGGTGAGGAGGCCGGAGCTCTGAATGGTCGACGGAGACGGGCTCGAGATCAGTCCGGCATCCATAATGTCGGATGAGGCAACGAAAAGCTGAAAGAAAAGCACCCTACTCGCAGAGGGAAAGCACGGAAGCTGCCTTTTCGATGTGGATAAGCAAGGTCTGCTTCAATCATCTCGAATGATACCTCTACAGCTCGTGGGTTGATGTGCAGTTGAGGCCTGCCCTGCTGTGCTGACAAACGAGGAGGCGTATACATGTTGATCTTGTGGTACTATACTGTGGCCGTCGTGTGCCCTGGGTAGGCAGGTATGTACACTATAAGCGGTGATTGATGTTGTTGGAGGGTGTCTCAAATTGTCCCTGGTGATGTGTTTTACAGGCGCCCGTTAATGGAATGTGGGACGGCAGGCGGGAAGATGGTGGCGCCTTCGCGGCTGTATCCGTATCCGTACAGTGGTGGCGCCAGGAACGATACGCCGGAATACACTAGTGTAGTCGCGCAGTGCCCTGAGGCGGCCCTGTGGCAGGCACTGTAGGTATTATACAAGTAACGAAGTATGCAACGACGGGAACCAACAGCCACCGCAACTATTTTCTTTTTCTTTATCATTCGAACGGGAAAGGAGGGTTGCAATGACCTAGGTAGTTACGGGTGAACTCACTGTAGGTACCTCTAGGGTATGAATGGCTGTTTTCAGCGCCCACCCGACCGGAGGGGATTCCGGTATATCGTAATGTAGCTTCCTGGCTGGGCGTTACCTACCTAGGTAGGTCGGCTCTTCTGGATTCGGTTGATTTCGGGTCGCATTCTGGTCTCACATCTGTCGTCGCTTCCACAATTAGGTGACTGCTGCAGTTGGACATTGAACACCTCTAGGAAGGCGCAGACGATGATGCAGTGACGACCTACTGCGTACCTTAGACACAAGACGCGGGGAGGCCGGGAGTACCTAGGTACCTACCTACCTTAGGTAAGGAACCCCACTTTGGACATGGGACGGGATGGAACCCGACCTCGCCCGGCCGCGGTGGATAGGCGGGGCTGAAGAGATGAATGGAGTGCGGGTTCGTCCACTTTGTTGGATCTCCCTCCAGTCGCAATCCAATAGCGCTTCTCCATAGGTTGCTTTTCTTCATCCAACCTATTGAATCCTTCCCGCAGGCGTCGACACACCTTCACGCAGCGGCACTCTTTCTTTCTTCTACTGCGACACTGCGACGACGGGAGTAGCGTAGCTTCGTTGGAGCCTAGCAGCGATGGTATTGGCGACACTCAACAGGCACCTATGTATCCAAAAATGCCATCCTTCTGCTAGAACTGTGTATACTGCGTAGGTAGGTAAGCAACTGTCCTGTTTTCATCAAGCAACTCTTCTGCATCTGTTTCCTTTTCATTTTGCCTTGCATTGGGTGTTCCCTTTTCATTGTATTCCCCTTGAGACGTGTCACATATCACACGCCCACGCGATCCTGATCCTGGTGCGATCGACGTCGATTACCAGAAGCATGTTGAGTGTCACAAACATCCACGAGCCACGCCATGCCCCCAGCAACCAACACGGACGCTTACCAAGTGGAAGGGACGGGGAGCCGGATGACATGGCTCACATACCTACCGTATGGGGCCTGTCGCCAAGTACACTGACTGTCCTGGACTACTCAAGACATGGATATAAAAGCGTAGTTCGGTTTGTGCGGGTGGCAAAGAACGTTGATTCTTGCACAGGAAATGGCCCTCCTGTCGTCTGTCTGCTCCCTTTTTCTTGTATCATCGTCGTACCGAGCTAAGCTTCTATGTCCACACACAAGTGTAGAGCTGCTGAGATGCTCGAGCTCTTTCAAGATGGAGAGCATTTGCTGATTTGCAATGACAAAAAAGGTCCAAAAGGTCCTCTGGAGCCTTCGATAGGCTCTTGCTCGTCTCGTTACCTCCTGCTACCCCCGGCAGCCAACGTCGGCGAGTAGTTTGGCCGCAGAGGTGTAAGAGGACTTTTTCTGGCGGGTCCAATATACCCCCCCAGCCCCCGTCTAGCCCAAACAAGTAGCATTTTGACCTATCATGGAAATCAGATGGACCTCTGTGGCTCTGGACCCCCCGTTCCGCCTCCCGAAGCTCCAGCAAAGCCCCCCCCTTTGGATCCACCAACCCGGCCGTCCTAAACGACCCGAGAACCCAGTCCTGGACTTCTCGCCAGTCTCCTCATTCCCAAGATTTCCCCAGTCTCGATTTTCCACTTCTCAGGGACCTGACCTGGATCCCAAAGGGCCTCAACTGGACCCTACCTGGCCGAAAAAGGGTAAAGACGCAGCTCCCGCCCGGCCAAACTCCACACCCCGCACTTTGCCAACAACTGCGCCAACCAGTCATCAAAGAATCGACGAATCCGGCTGTCGGCTGCTATCCTGTCCGGCCCTAGGCGTGCCACCGCCGAAATCGTCCAGGCCCTCCGGCTTTATGGGCAGGTTTGGACTTCCACTACTCGGCGACGTCAACATCGAAGAGGGCATGACAACACAGCTCAGCCAGATGACGACGCGACGGCAACAACGAGTGCCACCATCCATCTGAAGAATCAACTGCCAAAATGAGTGAAGCCGCGCCTGTTCATCGCTGCCCCGTCTGCTATAAGACGTACAAGCGTCGGGAGCACTTGCAAAGACATCGCGCTTCACACACCTCGGAACGCCCACATCGTTGCATTCTGTGCAGCGCCTCTTTCCAACGGACAGACGTCTTGAAGCGTCATATCCAGACATGCGACGGCCTGCCTCATGGCTCGTCTGGCCGCCGAAGGGCCTGCGATAGATGTGTTCGCCAGAAAAAAGCTTGCAACTCGGCCCAGCCCTGCCAAAATTGCTCAAAACGCGCAGTCCAATGCTTGTACTCGAGCGTTGGTAGTTCATCGACAAGCCAGGACGGAGAAACCGGTAGCACCAGTGCTGCCAACTCGGTTGAAAGCTTTTCCAACACGCCCAACACTCAGCAGCAACAGCAGCAACAACAGCAGCCGCAGCAACAGCAACAACAGCAGCAGCAGACTCAACAGTATCAGCATCAACAGTTCCTTCATCAACAGCCTCAGCAGCTCCACCAGCAGCAGCAGCAGCAGCAGCAGCAAGAACAACAACAACGAGCGCAACACCACCACCAACAACAGCAGCATCAGCCGATTTATCTCCAGCAACAGCACCAGTACCAGCACCAACAACATCATCATCAACAGCAGCAGCAGCAGCAGCAGCAGCAGCAGCGACCGCAACACCACCAATTCCAGCCGCAACAACACCAACAACAGACCTACCAGCAGCATCCACACCAGCAGCAACACAATCAACAGCAGCGCCATCATCACAACGTCCTCCACGCTCAAGTTACCCAACCACTCACCCAGATCCCTCAAATAGCTCCGGTACCGGTTCCCCAGATACCCCGTAATCACCAAGTTCCGGTTCCCCAGGTTCTCCAACAGTCCCACCAGTCCCACCAGCCTCATCATGTACCCTTCAACCACCCCGGTGTGGCCCACTTTGACGACCTCGACAACCTCCTTCATGACGCTGCTGGCCAGTTCCCGATGCTTGGACACCAGGACACTCATATCCCCGACTGGATCGAGATGGAGCTGCCCATGGGCACGCATGCAATTGATACTCCGGAAGACAACACCACGTCCAGGTCAACTCCATCTTCAGAGACTCATCGTGGCTATTCTTTTAACTTCCTGTATGATTTCACTAGTAGGACCGGTCTCGTCGACTCGTTTGAATGCGGCACTCATACGCAAAGGAGGGCGGTCGTAGATGCCTTCTATGCATCATATGCCGAGCAGCAAAAACACCATCAAAAACTTCAACAGATACAGCAGCAGCAGCAACAACACCTCCAAGCACAGCAACAGATTCATGGTCAGCTTGAATTCCACCCAATGTTTCCGCAATTGCAAAATCCTATGGGTCAGCCCCCACTTTCGCCCGCTTCGTCGTCAGCTGTCTCAACTTCGGCTACGTCGAATGAGTATAGCTATATGCCATGGACTCCTTGGTCCTCTTGGCTCAGTAATCCAATCATTATCAAGCTGCAAGAGATTGTGGTTTCGATCATGAATGTAGTCAGACATAAACCGTCTAACAGTACTTTGGGTACTCTGACTTGGACCCCCGATAAAGAGCAGGAGTGTCTTCAATTCTTTTCGCCGCAGAGGTTTGCCAAGTTCCTTGAGCTGTTCTGGTCATGCTGGCATCCAAATGTCAACTTTATGCATCGCCCTTCCTTCGACCCCACCAGCGCAAAGCCGACTCTGCTGGCGGCCATGGCTTTGACAGGCAAGTAACGTGCGTTCTGCCATTCCGTCGTGGGGTTGCCAAACTAACGCCCATCAGGTGCCTCGGTCTCTCCGGATGAGCAAGACACCAAGGACGCGAAAGTGTGGTTTAACTGTGTTGAGGAGATGGTCTTCACGGATGACGACTTTTGCAGTGACACTGAACCTGGATCACCGGCCGACGATGATGCCAATCCTACTTCGGCTCTACATTGCAAACGAAAACTTCAGGCGCTGCAAGCTTCGTACATCGTCTGCCTTTATCAGAATTGGGAAGGTTCAGACGCTAGCAAAAGGAGGATTCGCCGCCATCGCTTCAACACTGTGGTATCTGTGAGTAGCTTTGTGTATTGCGTTCGACAGTACTGGGAAACACTAACCTTGTCTTCCGTTACCAGGTGGCGAGAGACATCGGCATTCCTATGGCGAAGCATCTCGAATATGGCCGGCTGCTCAGACACGAGTTTGACTGGCACGAGTATGTGGTGAGGGAAGAACTTATACGGTAAGCGTACCCGCTCCTTGGAATAATCGAACCGGGCAACTGACGAGTGCGTCATGTAGCACCTTCCTGTGGGTATTTCTTCTCGATACAGCCTTTGTGATCTTCAACAATCTCCCTCACCGCATGGTTATCAAGGAGATGAGGATGCACATGGCTAGTCCAGAAGCGGTCTTCCAAGCTCCGACGGCAGAGAAGTGTCTCGAGGAGATTTATCAGTGGATGCCTTCGTCAAGTCCTGTTTGCAACACTCTGCTCCGCGACGTGCTCGAAAACGTCATCGGCACCACCCTTGACGCAGACACGTTGCAGAGGTTGGCTCGGCTTGGGCCCCTCAATCTGTTTGTCGTTGTTTCCGGTGAGTCGCTTTCTTTGCCCCCTTTATCTTGTACCTTTTTTTGATATTCCATCATTCGCCATCATGATGGTGACCAATGCTGATCCGTGGTTGTTGCTCAGTGTTCCATTATATGATATTCCAGCACCAGAATCTGTTCGGGGTAGAAGGTCAGCTTGTGCCGATCCGTAACGGCCTGGATAACTGGATAACGATCTGGGAGTTATGGTGCGACCACTGGTCGTCCACGCCGCCCCACTGTATGGCAGACAGCAACAACCTCACACCCGAAAACATGTGGAAAAGGATCGGTTTCATCCGGTGTTCGGCCGAGTACTGGCTCCTTGGCAGTCTCCTCACGGACCGTATCGCGCGGAAGACATCAGGCGGCGTTAGAGAAAACCAGGGCAAGGGGTCGTCTCCGGACTGTTACCCCGACGAGTTGACGGGAAGCGGCAAAGGCAAATCGAATGACCCAATTCTCATCAAGTACGACCAAACCAGCATGCGACAGGTCAACGAGCTGATCAGCGACTTTAAGAAAATCCAGCTTGAGGAGAATGAATGACAAAAAGAGAAACGGGTTAGGTATTCCGGGGGTCAAGGAAAGGTAACGAACGAGGGATGATGATGTTGGATATTGGGACGGCGCAGGACTTTTGGCTTTGACAGTCGGACACAGTAAAGGGAGACAGCGCTATCACTCTTTTAAGGAATTACCACTCAGTTTCTGAGAAGTAAGACATGATTGAGTGTCCACCCGCGAAGCTACAGTAGCCACCGTGCCACTCCAAGATCTGACAAGTGCCTTGTCAATATTGTGGCCCGACCGTCTTGGGCCCAGAAAGCTGGTGACAGTGCACAGTACTACGAAACGGTGACTGTGGGTAGGTTGAAGGCGAGGTGGTAAGCGTGGCCGTCCTTTCATGGGGTCGACATCTGCGGATTCCCACCCGCCCACACCGGAATCCGCAAAATCGACATGCGCGATCACTTGAAGCTATTCCGTCAGCCCCACCACATCATCCACATTGTGCTGCGGGCCGTTGCACGTGTTTGGATCCCACCTCCATGTCCGCCAACCTGCTTGGAGCGGGCCCTCCCATATCGCCGATACTACCATCCTTGCTCATCTTCCCTATCCCCTCCCCAAATCCCACCAGTACTCCGATCCCAAGTCGCTTTGGGGACATGGAGAGCATCAATGGCAAAGGCAGTGTGAACATCAAATTCCAAAGGAGAGAGATTGGCGAGATGTGCATCCAGCATCAAGACACGAGTGCTGGTGTTGACGACTGACTCGTAGATCTATTAATTGCCCCGAAGCTTCCGCCACAAGATGAAAACTATCACCCCAAGAAACATCCCCCAACCAACCAACCACCGGTCTTCATGCCGGTTCTTGCTTGGAAGAAGTACAAATGGCCGTCATCACAGCATACCTGCCCATTGTGGTAGGCATTGCCCTCCTGATCCGTCTGCTTATGGTTGGACGGAGACCAAAGAGTTATCCTCCTGGTCCCCCGACCATTCCAGTCCTCGGCAACCTTCACTTGGTATGTGAAATCTCAAAAGGCCTTTACTGAAAGGATTGAGTGATGGCTAATACCTGATGTCTTGATAGATGCCAACGAAAGATGTTCACCTTCAGTTTGAAAAATGGGCTCGTGAATATGGCCCCGTCTACAGCCTCATTCTCGGAACCAAGGTCATGGTCGTTCTCTCCAGTGACAGGGCCGTCAAGGACCTTCTCGACAAGAAGAGCCACATGTACTCGCACAGACAAGAGATGTACGTCGGCCAGACTCTCTGCTCCGGCGACATGCGCATTCTGATGCTGGGCTACACGGCCAAGTGGCGTATGTCCCGCAAGCTCGTCCACGCTCTCCTCAACGTATCTTCGGCCAAGTCCTACGTCCCCTACCAAATGCTCGAGAACAAGCAAATGCTTTACGAGATGATCACCAAGCCCGACGAGTTTCTCTACAATATCCGCCGCTACTCCAACGCCCTGACCACCACCATGGTCTACGGGTGGCGCACGCCTACCTACAACGACGAGAAGATGCGGCAGCTCTTTGACGGCTTCTCCGAGTTCGCCGAGATCAACCAGACCGGTATGGCCGCCCTCATTGACTTCTTCCCCATTCTGCGCTACCTTCCGGACTTCCTCCTTCCTGCCCGCAAGAAGGCCAAAGATCTGCACAAGAAGGAACTCGGCCTCTACAAGGGCCACTGGCTCAAGGCCAAGGAGGACACGCTCAAGGGCACCATCACGCACTGCTTCTGCGAGGACGCCGTGCCCGTGCAAAAGAAGGAAGGATTCAGCGACGACGAAGCCGCCTACATCGCCGGCACCCTTCTCGAAGCCGGCTCCGACACCACCTCGTCCACTCTCTACGGATTCGTCCAAGCCATGCTTTTGTATCCCGAAGTCCAGCGCAAGGCCCAAGAAGAGATCGACCTCGTCATCGGCCCCGACCGCCTCCCCACCATGGACGATGAGCCCAACCTGCAGTACTGCCGCGCCATCGTCAAGGAGTCCCTCCGCTGGATGCCCACCACCATCATGGGCGCCGTCCCGCACGCCGTCACCCAGGACGACTACTACAACGGATACCTGATCCCCGCCCACGCCGCCGTCGTCAACAACGCCTGGGCCATCAACCACGACCCCGTCCGCGCCCCTGAGCCCCGCAAGTTCAAGCCTGAGCGGCACCTAGACGACAAGCTCTCCCTCGCCGACTCCGCCGCCAACCCAGATCCTTCCAAGCGCGACCAGTTCACTTTTGGTGCTGGCCGTCGTATTTGCCCTGGCATTCACGTTGCCGAGCGCTCGCTTTTTCTTGGCGTTGCGCGCATGCTGTGGGGATTTAATATCGCGCCCAAGATTGGGGTGGATGGAAAGGAAATCATTCCAGACCAAGAGAAGCTTACGCAGGGGTTTGTCTGCATGCCTGAGGAGTATCCCGCGACGATCACGCCTAGGGATGAGAGGAGGAAAGGGATCATGGAGGAGGAGTGGTTCGCGGCGGAGAGGGAGTGTTTGGATCCGGAGACGAAGCAGTGGAAGCAGGGGATGAATTGGGTGCCGAAGTTGAGTTCCGTTAAGGCTTGATTAAGCCTGGGGACTGGAGCGCGGTTTGAAATTCGATTGTTTTGTTTATGTGCTTTGATGTCTGATATGACAGCCGTCTTCTTTCAAAGTTCTTCTTTGCCATTTTTTGAGTGTTTGTTCACTTGTCTATTTGGGAGGGATTGAGCTGGAGGAAGAGATGTATTGATGATATGTAACCGGTATATGTAACCGATACCATCAAGATATACTGTTTCGGCAAGCAAGCAAGCAAGTGAGTGAGAATGGTAGTCTTAGCGTACGAGTACAGTTAGGCTAAGATATACCACGGCTTTTAGACCTCATCTTCTAGCATTGTTCCTGATGGCATTGCTTGGTCTTGAGAATCTGCCCTGGATTATAGTCTCATATGCCCTGTCTGGTTGAAAGCATGCCCTGCTCAACTACCGTATAGTTCCGGGGCATATATTTTCAGGGTTCTGACGAAAGCAGGCAGAATCTTTGTACATACTGCATCACTTCCTGCCCACTAAGATTGTACGCAAGACGGTAATTCTGAATTTCCACCCTCCAGCTCACTCGATAAAATAGGTGGAAAAAGACAGGGCACGTTGAGAATCGAATTCACAGTGCTCCGGCCTCTCACGCTGCCCCCCCACTCATTTTATCGGGCATGAGAAGCACATATTCGAGCAGTATGCGTGTAGGCCACATCTGATTCTTAGGGTTTTACTAGGGGAGGTAAAAATATATGCCCCGGAACTATACGGTACTTGCCTTGATTCTCGAAAAAAAGCCCAACTGCTGCAGGCATGCCTCATACCTACCTGCATTGCCGAATTTCACATCCGGCACGATAGAAAATCGGAAGCAAAACCCCCCCCTTCTCACTGTGTTCAACCTTCTCGGTCCCCTTTAGTCCGAAAAATAAAAGATCAAATGCATCTCGTCACCGTCGTGATGATATGTGCCTGTGCCGTACCAGTGTTTCACCCATCACTCGGTATGATGATCAAATGAAGAAAACTAAGCAACAAGAAAAAGCAACATCGTGCTTAGGGTCATTCATTCTTTTTGCTTATTACTTTCCCCCCTCGGGAATTTCATTGGTAGGATCCAACCTTTCTTTTTTTTTTTTTTTTTTTTTTTTCTTCTTCTCTTATTGACATACGTATCATCCTGATAATCTGATACTCCGTCTACACTCACTCACCCATCCAGCCAGCCAGTCGATATATCACCCACCTTTCTCCTCACATGTGCTATACATGTGTGTACCTGTTAATGCATACCTGGGTAGGTAGATGATATCTTCCTGCAGGGGTGCGATCACATTAACATGGAACGCACTTTGGAAGCCTAGATCTGAATGGGTTTGAGGAGCTTATCGAGATCAATAGGTACGAGCTCCGGCACGAGATTGCTTACCAGTGATCGACGGACGAGTTGGAGAGGGCTGGGCTCTATGCTACTAGGCAAGGAACCTCAAGGGCAGGCAGGGGAAGAGGTGGAAAAGGTAAGGAGAGACATGGAAGAGAGTTGATGTCTCATTTTCGGGGCCGCTGTATGACCGCTTGGCATTTACCGGCGGCCCTCGCATTACATCCGCGGTGATGGTGATGGTGGTGGTGATGGTGGTGGTGATGGTGGTGGTGATGGTGGTGGTGGTGATGATGGGGTAACAGGGGTCCACAAAACCTCCTCATAACTACAACTCCAAAATAGGAAAAGGTAGGTACGTACCGAGTATATCCCACCAGTACTCCGATTTCATGTACATATATACCACCTGAATTCAGACCCTCTTCAATTTTCTTTCCTTCTTCAACCTCCCACAATTGTGTCTGGTATTCTCAGATATTGGACCTGAGCACACACAGCGAAGCCACGCCCAAAAAGCAAAACCTACCTACCGCGGAACAAGCCAAAAGGTGCCGTTCCCCACCGTTAAAGCTATCACATGCAGTGTGTCCGTTGTATCAAGCAACCGACGGCGGCGATCATTGATTCTATGCTTTTTCAAAACGGCCAGGGCCTGGTGCTACCTATGAAATGAAGCTATCACGGCTTCTTCTTTGAAGTCGGCTGGTGAGCTAGCTGGTGATGGTTAATAACCATCAGCATGAAGCTTTCTGGTTTATACACCTCACTTGCATTTTTTGAATATTGGAGGTGTAAGAAGCATCACGGAAAATCAAGTTATCGCCACACCTTGCAGTTCACCGCGCTAACCTTTCAAATTCCGGCAGAGGTGTGGTGTATACCTACGTTAGGTGCTGTTCGGTATCACAAAAGCATCCATCTCACATGCTCACATGCTAGCGATGGAGACGACATTGGAGAAGTGGAGAGGGTTCCTTGTCCAGCTGCGTGAATGGTTGTCGCCGTTCTGTGCATCCCGTCCCTTTTTGTTTGGTTACAACCAAGAGTCGCACCCGCCCGGGACGGGGATTGAGGGACGGCGGGGCGAGCGGGGGTCTGGCCCTTAGGTCTCCACTGGCCCGCGTCACGAAGTGGACATCACCGTTCGGCTCCGGGCTTGTCGGTGGGCCTCCGGGCTTGGGCATCTCTCTCTCCTCCTTCTCCAAAACACCTCCATGTGATTCCAAGGATTCCCCTTTAAAGCACCGGTCATGATACACAAAGTCGCAACCGCAAATCCTCTTCCTGTCTTTGTCTGCCGACCTTGTCCAACGCTGAACGGACGGTCAAAAGTCCCCTCCCACCACCACTCCGATACATTATATTCTACATATGTACACAACTGCCGCAGACGAACATGGTCGCACAGAGCGGGAAATTTGAGTGGCTGGCACAACCAGGAACAAGGAACAGGAAAACGGGAATTCCGCTATCTCTTTTTCCCCAGTGATCGGTCCTCCATCAGCAGCATCTCAGTCAGCACCTCCATCACTAAACTGTCGGAAACGGGGGTGGGAGAGACTGGAGAATATGTATAGGGATCCCGCCAGATCTTGCATTCCACTCCGCCGGCATATTATAAGGCTGGTATGGTTTCCAGATTTGGAACGACGGAACGTCCGGAACAATGTCCGAAAACCCATTGGATATCGATTGGCTTAATAACGACCACGTTCCCGCTTCGCCATGTATTCCTTATCTGGTAAATGGCATGCAAGCAAGGGGAAGTGTCGTAGTCTTTGCTTACCTCTTGTAGTCCCTTGAGAGATGCCATCTTTTAGTGATAACCTCTTCTCGATATAAACTCATCTTTTCTTTTTCCACAGCATACAAACATCAAGATCTGGATATCCCTCAATCTCCACAGCAACGATGGCAGCTCCCCGCACAACCACCGCCCTTGTCGTCCCCGAACTCAACGGCCAGTTCGAGCTTCAAGAAGTCCGGCTCAACGACATCCAACCAGACGAAGTGCTCGTCGAGATCGAGGCTTTTGGAATCTGCCACACCGATCTCTCGTGCGCCACCGCCTTGTTGCCATGTAGACCCGGCGCCGTGTTGGGCCATGAAGGTTCGCAGTTTCCTTTTTGAAAATCTTTCATCTCGAGCGCCATCGATCACATCCTTGTTACCCCCCAACGGTTGAACCCCAAATTTCCCTCCCTCTATGTAACCCCAACCCAAAAGCAAAACACCGAATGAAAAAACACCACCACAAAACCATCACCACCCTCCCCGCCCCCCGTTACCTCACCTCTATATACCAACTAACCCACCCCCTTTACCAATCCAGGCGCCGGCAAAGTCCTCTCCGTCGGCTCCTCCTCCACCACCCACCTCTCCCCAGGCGACTCCGTCCTCCTCTCCTTTTCCCACTGCGAATCCTGCCCTCCTTGTCTCTCCGGCCACCCTGCATACTGCCACTCCTTCAACGCCCGCAACTTTTCCGGCTGCCGTCCTTTACCCGTCCTTCCCGACGGCTCTGTCGATTCCGCCTCCCTTAAAGATGACCCATTCACGGACCCTTCCTATGCAACTTTCTTCTCCACCAAAGACGACGGCAAGCCTTTGTTCAGCCAATTCTTCGGCCAGAGTAGTTTCGCACGCCACACGCTTGTACATAAATCCTGCTGCGTCAAAGTTCCCCCTGGAACAAACCTACCGCTCTACGCCCCCATGGGATGCGGGATGCAAACGGGCGCTGGCGCCGTTCTCCACTCCCTAGGCGTTAAAGCCGGGTCAAGCATCGCTGTCTTTGGTGTCGGGAGCGTGGGCATGGCGGCCGTGATGGCTGCTGCGCATATCGCCAAAGCCAAGACGATTATCGCTATTGATTTGCAGGAGTCCAGACTGGAGTTGGCCAAGAAGCTGGGGGCTACGCATGCGGTGTTGAGTAGTAGAGTTAGGCAGGATATCAAAAAGGAGGTGAGGAGGATATGTCCGCCGGTGGGAGTCGATTACGCGGTGGATTGCACGGGGTCGATGTACGTGATTAGGTGCATGATTGAAGCTCTGGCAACGAGGGGGAGGGCGGCGACGGTGGGTGCACCGGGTTTTGGAAAGGTGGTGGCTGTGGATGTGATGGAGCATTTGACGTATGGGAAGGAGTATGTGGGGAGTTGTGAGGGGGATAGTTTGCCTAAGGAGGTGAGTTCTGCTTTGTTGTTTGGAGGTTTGGGGTGGTGGTGGTGATGAGGGTGAGAAAAGAAGAAAGGAAGGTTGACGCTGACTTGTATAAACAGTTCATCCCGTTCCTCATCGACCAACACGCCAAGGGCAACTTTCCTATGGATCAATTGGTTACTTTCTACGATGTCAAGGACTACAAGCAGGCTTTGGAGGATTCGCACAATGGAAAGGCCATCAAGGCTGTTTTGAAGTGGTAGGGGGACCGGGGGGGCCGTAGGGTGATACGGAAAGTGGCAATCGGAGATGGGCTTGGTTGGATATACAAATAATGAGCGCTGAGGTTTGGACATGAGGATTGTACATAGTTTGGGAGGATGGTGTATGATATACGTACGTATAGGGACAAGAAGGGAATATGACACGATTTACTCACCAATGCATTCATCTATCGAGCGAAGCGAGGTCCCTCCCCGGATGGGGCCGCCGGAGGCGTACATGCCCGGTAGATACTAGAATGGGTAGGTTTAAGCTGTGCTTGCATACCTCTAGCTTTATACATTGGGGGATTGCATTGAAGCTTGCGTTATCACCGTGATTGTTAAAGAAAGCTTCCTGTTGCATGAGCCAGGGGATCCGCCTCAAGCTTCGTGAGCTGGCAAGGCCGTGCGCATCTATTCAGACAGTCCGTTATTCACAATACATAAAAGCTTCCGGTCCGTTAGGGTCTCCTCACCACGATCCAATCACAAGCCATTATCCAACCGTTCAGACAGCCAAAAATTCAGTTGTTCGACAGGGAAAAAAGATGTGGATGGTGGTCGGAGGAAAGAAAGAGGGAGGGGTCAAGTGGCCTTACCACATCACCGTGACGTGACTCTGACCTTCTCCTCCACGACCCGTCATATTGGTCGGAAGTACCAAGACGACCAAAGCCAATGTCGTAAATGGTGCCTCTTCCCATTTCCCTTTCCCCCCCTTCATTCCATTACTACACCCTGCATTCCAGCAGTGACTTGTTAACAGCCTTGTTCGAGATACTTCCAGACCACACAGACATACAGACTAGAATGACCATCCTCACCAAAGCTTTATCTCTGGCTAAAGCCAGCGGTGCTCTTCGGCATCATGGCATCATCAAGACAGCCTGCAAGTCCACCAGCACCCACGTTCCCTTCCCCGCCGGCATCATCGACGGCCTCCAAGTCTCGCGTCACATCTACGAACAAGAAGGCTTCGTCGCGGAGGAAGTAACCGATTCCCACGCCGTCTCGCCCGCCGAAGCCGCTCTGCGCACCACGGCTCCGCACACGTCGGCCGCCAGCGCCGGCGGGGGCCTGAACCACTTCCACGGCCTGTTATGGTCGCACTGGCACCCCGGTCCGACGGCCGGTGTCGAGTACCAAACCCGTCACTTCTCGGGTTCTGTGCGTAAACAATATGCGGTCATCTACGACATGTCCATCTGGGACTGGGGCGACTTCAGTCACATACAACCCGACCATCCCATTCCTCCGCGCCCCATCATGCCGGGCGATGAGGACTACGATCCGGTGACCATCAACGCTATGCCGACGCACAGCGAGGCGAATGTGAAAGCCGACAGGTCGGATATCGATCCTTTAGCTGGCCACGGCCCCTTGTGGTCGCACAGCTACTACCACCACCACCATTCCCAACAAAGTTGGGCGGCATACCAGACGCGGCAGTTTTCGTCCTTTATCTTGGGCAAAATCAGCACGGCAGCGGTGCACGACCCGTCGATTTGGGACTGGGGCTTCTTCAGCCATGTGCAGCCGGACCATCGAATCCCGCCGCGGCCCATCTTACCGGGGGACCCGCATTATGATCCGGTGACCATCAACGACATGCCGTCGGAGAGCGAGGCGATTGTCAAGGCGGAGAGAACGCCGATTGATCCACTGCCGATGGGATTGCACCGCGTCATCCTTTTGCCGGTGGGGGAGGCGTTGCCCGAACAGACGGAGAGCGAGATGGATGTGCGGGCGGATAGGAGTCCGATGGAACAAGATCCGCTGAGGGGCAGGATGAGGTTTCGGGGTTATGGGCCGCTGATGAATGCGGGGAGGATGACGGAGCAGGAGATCAAGAGGGATATGGATAGGGATATGGGGTTTGGGTATCATGCGGCTGCTTCTACAGGTGACTTTAGCGGGGGGGAGACGGAGGGTGCGTATAGGAAGGAGATTTACATCAGGGAGGAGAGGTTGTTTGTGGAGGACTTTGGGGAAGAGGATGAAAGTATGGGGACCAGCTTTGGAGAGGGAGAGGGCACGGAGGGATATGAAGGGCAGAGGGGGTATTTCGGGGAGGAAGGCCCGGCGTTGAGGAGGAGGTATGGGATGGAAGAGGTGGTGGGGATGGACAGGAGTGCTGAGGAGATGGAGTTGGAGGATGCCATGTTGCTGCATTTCACGAGGTTTCGTTGAGCCATTGATAGTATCGGTCTGGTGAAGTCTGGTTATGTGTTTTGGGTTGAATGTCTTTGGTGACTGTTGTGTAAACACTTGTAACACTAGTGCATAGCTTGAACATGTTGATCATGTCCTCCGATAGCAGATGGACAGAAAGAGATTGGATCACAACTCCTTGCTTGGAGTCTCATCTTGACACCTCGCTTAGAGTCTCCTCATCCACATTGATGTCGATCCACGTGGACGTGTGGGATAGGCATCATATGAAGGAGTTATGAGACGATGTTCATATAAAGATTCCCACGCTTGCCGCAATAATCAATCGGACCCCCCTTTCGTAATAGACTCTGTGACCCTTGTCCCTCAAGGGCTCGGGTGTTGGCTGCCTCTACCCGAGACACATGACACGGCACACAGGCGCAAACCAGCGTCGAAGGAAAACGCCCCTTTTACCGCCAGGATGGAAGAGACGGTTGAGAATGGAAGGCTAAGGGACGGGGCGCCAGGGATGAAGCCAGGGATAAAGGTTTACCGCGCCCTGGGGCAAATGCCGACCACGGAATGCAGCGTGGATCCTGATCGTCGGTCACAAACGCTTCTTGGCCTTGCCAAGGGCGCGCGCACTGTCAACCACTGAGCCGCCAGTGCCGTTCTCCGTCCCGGCATCCATAGATCGGCAGGAGACATGTCGATAATCCCAGCATTTTCTCGTGGGACGTACAAACGGCTGAACCCTCCCTAGCCAAATGAAGAGAATATCCTACCGGGAACCTGAAACGCAGCTTGCTTGTTTTTCCCACGCCAATTGGATGAGTGTTTCTTCGCTTGCATACCAAGATATTGTACAACTGAATGTGGGTAGGTAGTGTGGGTAAGGGCGCAACCGGGTGTGGAAAGATTAAGATGTTGCTGCGTGAAATTGCATGCCCGTGGCCGTGGTCCGTTCAAGTAGAAGATGTCCGCTGAAGGAAATTTTTGTCTCGGAGATTTCAACCTGTGAAGCGTGCATCATTGTATACTTGGAAGTTGCAGGCCAACTTGAACAAGCGAGCGACGGACAGGATCGTGAAGCACAACACAGCCACCAGCACCATGACGCCGACTGCGACCGTCTTTAGCGTGGCGACCGCCGTTCTTGGTCCGTTGACGACGACATTCACACCACCACCAGCATGCACGGTGGCAGTAGCTGCGGTTACAGGAAAGTTCCTTGGATTGGGGGGAAAGGTTGCCCCCTCGGGCTGGCTCGGTCAGACATGCTCCAAGGGCGGTCCGGTGGACGACACGTCCTGCTGGCCACCAATTTCCAGTGGAGCGGAAGCCAGGACAAAGGCGCTGGACGGATGGGGATATTACTCGCCGGGTCTGCACTGTCCAGCCGGCTATGCGACGGCATGCTCGGCGACAGGCGGCGGTGGTGCAAAGTCGGACTTTGCTTTTCAGTTCGCGCCCGGCGCCAAAGAGACGGCAGTCGGATGCTGTCCAAGGTAGGCCGCCCCTGATCCGCCCTCCGGGTTAGCGGTGTACTGACATTCGACGACGTAAAGGGGCTATCAATGCAGCAGTGTTGAAAATGGCCAAACATGTGTCAGGGCAGCCACATCGACAGAGGTCGAGTACGTGACGTGCGACGGATCGGACCCGGCTGATCTGGCCACCATGACGATATCAGACGACAAAGACTTTATGTTGTATGCTCCGTTGATTCAAATCAACTGGCAAAGCTCCGACAGACCGACCGAGACGGTGTTTTCCGGGACGGTATCTCTCTCTGTTGATGTTGACACCATGTCGACACTGGCCACAGCAGGGGACGCGCCAGCAGGCGTGACTTCCAGGGTGGGGTTCCCATCACAGAGCGTTGTGCTCGTGGGTTCCCAAGGTTCGGACAAGCCGAACGGAGCTTCTGAGAGCAACAAAGAAGAAGACGGTGTGAAACCCGTCAGCCTCTCGACTGGATTCAAGGTCGGCATGGCGGTAGCAGGCGGCGTCCTGGCCGTGGCCATTGTTGCCATCATCTTCATCTGCGCTTGGAGGCGACGGAAGCAACAGATAGAGGAGGAAGAGTTTGATCGCATGTATGGCATGAAGGATGTGGGGCCCAGCACGGCGGACTTCAGGAACGAGGAGATTCCGGGCTGGCACCGGGGACCGACGAGACGACAGCCGCCACCGCCGGTTGATCCATTCCGCAGTGATGGGGAGTCCGAGCTGACGGCACCACCTGCGCCGTATCATCCCCCATCGGCATATCGGTAGTGGCTGAATGAGAGTGCTGTAGTGTTGGACGTGGCGATGATTTTGATGGTTGTTTGGATACCAATTTGTTTACACTCTAATGATACAATGTGACTGATTCTGCCCAACAACCTAACCATGTGAATCCGACTGGACTGCCCTTATTTAGTGTACAAGAAAGCGTAGCATTGGCGCACGGACCACACCCTCCTTCTGTGGACCTTTTCTGCTGACAGTGCAGGGTAGTAGTGCCAAGACTGCAACCCCCCAATCGACCCCATTGCGCGTATGTCATCAGAGGACGGGAACACAACCAAGAGCTCTCCAAGTTTCGACTTTCTCAGAATTGTAGTCCATATATCAAAACATAACAATTTGAAGCTTCGGTAATACTCATTCATCGCGACAGCTTGGGCAAGCTTTACACTCGGTCAGACCATACATATACACACACACACACACACACACACCGCAATGAAATGATACCATGTCGACGGAATCGACTCGCCCATTGTTGCTGCCGCAGAACCGCAAGCTACGCCATCTACGCGGCATCTATCTGAGGAACCTCGCCTTCACTCGCCAACACGGACGGACCATTGACGACGCTGCTCTTAACAAGACAGCTGGTAAGCTCGAGGCCTTACGCGAGAGGCCAGACCTACACCATACGCTATCATCAGAGGACCTCCGCCCACCCGCTGTCCGACGCCGCAGCACCCACTTGGCCAACGCCGACCCCGCCACACGACAAAGGAGCTTCCAAGATACTTTTGCCAGCAAGCTTGCCGATGCCTTTTTCACCCTTCACGTAGACGGTCTGGAAGATCCCATATACATCAGCGAGATTGCTGAACGAGCTACGGTGCGCTTATCATGATGACCTCTCAGACATGACCCACGCTAAGCACCTTCAATCAGAACTTCAACTTCCGTCTATTCGAGCTTGCCGACCTGGACTCGACCATAACTCGATCTCCCCAAGTAACAGTCCGAATATGGACCAACCGACAGGACCAATGGAGTCTCCTCCTCCAAGACGAAGTCGACCTCCGCACCCTCAACTGGCTCGGCACCCTTCAGAACGTCAACTTCCCACCCAACAGCCTGGTCTTCCACATGGTAGACGGCATCTACTCCCTTGACGTCTCCAACAAATACCCACCACCCAAGAAGGAGGTTCCCCCTTTACCAACCTCCTCCTACAATGTCCTTATGCGCCTCGCCACCCTCAACAACTCGATTCAAGACGCTCTCGCAACCCGTGACGCCCTTGCCGCCCAAATCAACGACCTCCTCGCCCAGGAAGAGGACAAACAAAAGGGCGTGGGGACCCTCGCCGAAGCCGAAGAGCAAGTCAAGCTAGCCTCCAAGTACCTTTCGGCCCAAAAGCGCATCGTGGCCGCCGCAAAGAAGCACAACGACGACCTGCGCGCCTCCATCGCCGCCCGCAAAGCCGCCATAGAATCCGGCTTGGCCGTCCAGCGCAAAGCAGAAGAAGACGTCCATCACGCAGCAGGCGAACCGCTCGCACAGTCCAAGGCCCTCCTCTCCTCCGTCCGCGACCAAATCCGCGGTCAACGCCGACGCATCTGCGAGGACCTGTTGACCATCTACCGCATCCAACCGATTCCTCCTCCAACAGACCCGAAAGCGCAGAAAGAGCATGACCCCCTATCCTTCCAAATCTGCTCTCTCCCGCTCGCCAACACGGTACTGGACCCAACCACCACCACCGCGCACTGCTTCGTCTCTTCTCCTCACGGCAGCAGCAGCCTATCATGCATCCCCAAAGAAAAATACCCCCACGAGGAAAGCCTATCCGCCTCCCTCGGTCTTGTCGCCCTCTTGGTGCACCACCTCCAACTATACCTCTCCGTGCCGCTGCCCTACCCGATAAAATGGCACGGTTCTCGCTCCACCATCCGCGACGACATTTCCAATTTTCCCATGAACCCCAACGCCTCTTCCTTTTCCTCTCACGCCTCCCAGTCTTCCCGCTCCGCATCTTCATCCAACAACTCCCCATCCTCTGGATTGGGAGAAGAAACAGATCCTAGCAGGGAATTCCCCCTCTTCCTACCCAAGGGAGGCAGCACAGCCCAATACCGCTTCGAATACGCCTGGTTTTTGCTTAATAGAGACATCGAAGTCCTCTGCTGGAGCCAAGGCCTCAAAGTCGTGGACATACGCCACACGTTGCCGAATCTACAGTGGTTGTTGATGGTCTGTAGTGCAGGGAAGGACGAGGTTCCCGAGCGCAAAAGGGGAGGGGTAAGGGGGTTGTGGTTGGGGAGAATCAGGGGGAAAGTGGTGGGGATGGGGATGAAGTTTGATGATGATGTGGATGGGAGTCTTGATGGGAGTACCAATGGTAGTCAAGCTGGTGGTGACGAAAGAATCAGTAACAGGGACCACAACGACGACAGCGCGAGTAGGAATAGTAGTAGGAGTAGAAGGGGAAGCACAGACAGCGATGCTGCCACCATCATCAGCCCCCGAACGACGCGGAGGACGACAATGGGAGGAGGAGGAGGAGGAGGAGGTGGTGGTGGTGGTGGTGGTTTAACTATCGGCTACCATTACGGCAACGGGAACGGGACGGCAGGTGCTAGGTCCCCGCTGTCCCGCTCACCTTTGGCCCAGCAGCTCCCATTTGATGAGGGATCAACCAAATTGACGCTAAGAACCAAGGGGTTACGGGAGAGTGTTGCTCGCTGAGCTATGGTTGACCCCCACCAATCCGGGTATAATGAGGAAGTTTGGGTTCGGAATGATAACGATCGGTGAAAAAGCTGAACGATCGAACGAATGGTCTCAAAAGGATGGACGGATGGCTATGGCAAGCGATGAGGTTCATTGTGTGTATTATGCTTATGTGTTTTATAAAACATGAGGGCTATCTATGATGATGATAATGAGAAAGAAAAAAAGAGCGATTGACTTTTTGTGTGGCACAGATTTATTGTTCCACTTTTCTTCTTCACCAAGACTTCCGAGATGAGCACCGGTTGGCGAGCCAGCAGAAAAGTACCTACCTACCTACCTACCTACCTACCTATTGACGTCTAGCAAGGAGGATAAGTATGTAGACATCATCAATATTCATCAACGCCCGACCCCGAAGGTTACCTGCCTAAGTACCCAATTGATAAACTGTGATACATACAACAAGATAATATTGTGAAATGGATGGATGAGTGTTTGGTAGAGTGCCGACTTCAAGAGAATTGAAAGAAAAAAAGTTGACAAGTCAACAAAGTGAGTGTGGAACTAACAATGATGGCTTCTACAGATGTTCATTTGATCAAGAACAGACAACGCCACGAAGGGGACGGAATATATCAAGGCATATTTGACACAACTCCAAACAGTAGGTTTTCTTGACATGCACGGATTCGATGTTGTTGATACTACTACCTCCTTGACGTCAATTTTCTTTTTTTTTTTTTTCTTTCCCAAGCCACTATGCATGCTTCTATAACGAGGTTTCCAAAACCGTGTACAAGTACGAAAACTAATACAAATGTATGTATTTTATGCAAGTAAAGTAAGTGACCGTGAAGAAACTATTCTTTTCACTGATTACAAAGTCGTTCTAGCGTAAGTTTATACTAGTCGCAACATACTAAACTAGTAAAATGGTATATCCATCCCTTTACTTCCTCATTTTCCCCCTTTTCCCCCAACTTTCTTCCACCCATTACCGACGAGCGCTCAACCAAAAGCAAAGTGTCAACACGCTCTCTGTGTTTATCCTGGTTTAACTTCAACCCAACCGCTTGCTTGCCCTTTAGAAAAGAAAAAAAAACTGCACGCTAACTCAGAAAAACAAGCCCTTCTTCTTCTTTTTCTCCTGTCCCCCCATCCCCTTCAAGATATCATCAAATGTGCTCCCCCCATTACTGGGCGCCGGCGCCGCCGGTTGCGCCACCTGTCTAGTAGGTGACTGCCTCGGCGGCGACTCTCCTCTGCCCAATGGACTTGGACTGACACTCGGGCTCGGATACTGCTGCTGCTGCTGCTGCTGCTGCACCTGTTGACTAATTGAACCCCTAGAAGGATCTCTGTACGCCGAGGGCGGTGCGCTGGACCTCCCCTGACCCTCACCAACGCTCAGATTACCCAGCGCGGCAAGAGTCTGCGCGCTGCCGACCGAACTCGCGCGGTGGCCATGGGCGGCCGTGGAGTTGGACGAGTCGGGACGACCACCACCACCTCCGGAGGGGATGTTGGCGGGAGTAGAAACGACGCGGGAGCTACGGTCACCGCCAGGAGCCAGAGATTGCATGAATTCGGCTTCTTGCTGAGACGAGGGGCCGTTGGGGCCGAATTGGCTAAAGTCGAGCGGCTCGAGGCCTATGGCGATGCTAGACCTATAGGTTGAGACCCCGCGACTAATTGTTGATCCCGTCCGTGGACGGAAGTGAGGGGAAGCGGGTTCGGAACCGGGAGTGCCACCTCCGTAGCTGCTTTGTGATCTTGAGCCGGAACGTTGGTGGCCCGAGGCGAAGGAGTCGTTGTCTTGGAATACCGGGCGGGGTGGTTCCAGGGGGGTGATTTCCTCGCCCAAGGCGGCGGCGGCGGCTTCGAGTGGCTGGTTAATGGCGGCGGCGGCGGCAGAGGCGGGGAGGAGAGCGGCCTCCCATTCCTTGGCTGCCAGCCAGCAGTGCGAGCGCATGTAGATACCTTCGACGGAGAACATGACCACGTCCGCTGACAGCTCTACGATGCCTTGACCGTTGTTGGTCTGATACCACATTTTTCGGACTTCGCCGGCATCTTCCATCCACGGCGGGTTGCCCTGGGGAGCTTCGCAGAGGAAGTATTCGACTCCTTCGGTCCAGTGAAGCCGGGGGGCGTCGACGACGAGCATAGGCAGGGACTGCAGAACGACGTAAAGGAAAAGCCAGTAGCCGACGCGCTGGTTGGCGATGTCGGAAGGGTTGACACCCTTGGCCTCCTTGTACTCGAACTCCTTGAAGGCTTGGAGGATGGGGAGCTGTATTGAGTCGATGTCCATGTTGCGTGACTTGATGAGCATGAGCAGCATCTCGTTGGAGGCCAGCTTGCGGTCGAGCTTGGCCCGCTTCTTGGCGTCCAGTTCGCGGTAGTTCTCGTGGATGGCGGTCATGGAGGGGATCTTGGGGCAGTCGAAGGGGATGGGCGGCAGGACGGGTGGAGAGGAGTGGTCAAACTCGCTGAGCATGGCGCGCAGGGCGGAGCGCATTAGGAAGAGTTCGTACTCGAACTCGCCAGCATTCTTGGCCTTTTCCCTCTCGGCCTCGGCTTCCGCAACACCGTCGTCGAACTTTTGGTCGATAACACGGGGAGTGATGGATTCGCGGTCGACGAGCAGGTCGTACAGAGCACAGCAGTCGGAGTAAAGCATCTTGAGGCATTGGCGGTTGAGACCACTCTGGGAAAAGTGGTTCTTCTTGCTTCGCGCCTTGGGTGGCCAGCTGCCGAACGAGTCCCTGTAGTAGCCAAGAACAAAGGTGCGCATCTTGGCGAAGGACTTTTGCCATTCCTTGAAGTTCAAGTGCTTGGCCTCCTCACTGGATGTCGAGCTGCCAATGCCAGCAAACAGGGAAGGGAACTCGAAGTTTTCGAGACGAAGGTTGGCGTTGGCCTGTCTGTTAGTGAGATCCAGATAGGCGCGCTCAAGCCTGTTCCTGGTGCTGACCGAGATACTCTTGTAGACGGGTAGGTTGAGATGCTGAATGGACTCGTACTTGCCCACGGCGTGGGTGAAGGCTTCGTTGTAGAGCGTCCATGACCGCATATGCTCACCCAAGATGATGGCCTGGATGGTCTTCTCGCGGCTGCCTCTCACATCCGAAACGCCAAACTGGTCCAAGAAAGAGTTGAAGGCGGCATCGACCTGTTCACCAAACGTTGATCCATCATGGTTTCTGAAGCCCAAGTACTTGAGCAGGGCAGCCACTTGAAGGAGTGCCGCAAACAAGGTCGGATACGTGTGTGTGGCAATGATGGGCTGGCTGGTCAATAGAGCAAACAAATTCCTTGCTGCAACGAGGCTGTCCAGATTCGTATTCTCGAGTGGGAGGTACAGATGTCCGTCAGTCGGGCTGGCGCCGCAGGCTGATGGCGATGGTACTGGTCGCCTGTTGGCCGCATCGTCGACGGTAAGAAGGCTGCCGCCGGCACTAGCTTTGCGGGGGTTGTTGAAGCCGGCAATCTCGGACAGCAATAGTTGCGAGGAGCTGACGAGGTAATCATGGACTTTGAAGGATGGGCCGCGGCCACTGGTGGGAGGATGGAGGTAGATGAACAGGTTTCCAGATTCGTTCCATAGTTCGGGGACCTGTATAGGTAGAAGGGTAAGGTGAGTGAGTACGGATGCCCGACGGATGTAACCTAGGGAGAGAGAGGCACGTCATACCTTGTCGCCATTCAGGAGGTTCGCCGTGCTGTATTCGGCCTTGCTGTCTGGCGCAACAATCCAGGCCGCATTGCTGTCTCCCTTGTTGGCCGCCGGATTGGAGCCTGATCGGCCTCCGAACCAACTCCTCCTCTGCTTGTGCTTTTGTGCGGTCGGACTGCTGCCGTCATCGCTGCCGTTGGAATGGGTTGATGTTGGCCTCGAGTCAGCCGAAGTGGAAACGATGCGCGGGGGTTCTGCTGAGAGAGTGCGGTTATGTGTTGCTGAAGGTTGGCTGGAAGTGCTGCGGCCGCGCGAGTGGCTGCCTGTAGGGGATGTTGGTGAGCTGCTGCCGGACGGTGGTTGTTGTTGATTCGGTGATTGTTTCTGGAGACGGTTGGGTGGAATGGCAGCTCCCGGCGGGGGACCTTCGACGGAGACACTGCGGGCCCCGTTGCTGGGCCTTGCTGCGGGGGGGCCGAGGTTTGTCTGTTTTAGGGGCATGGTCGACGCTTAGGTAAGGTAATGTAATGAATGGTTAGTTAGGGTATGAAAGAGGGCAAGATGGTGTCGAACAACAACGAACACACCTGATTGTAAAGACGACAAAGGAGGGGACGAGCTATTAGTAGTAGGATTATTATTCCTGCCCAACAACAATCCTTCGGGTGACGAATAGTTGGCGGCCGGGTTCAAGTTGTGATATATTATCATGTTCTTATTATGGACGTCGCTGACACTGGCTGCTTGCTGCGCCTCTGGATTGGCGTAATTGGCGGCAGGGGCCGGGCTGGCAGTTAGTACTGGCCGTTGTTGCTTCCGGGCTCCTGTGGTACCTTTTAGCCCAGTAGTACCCTGCTGATCTGCGGCGTCTGGTGAAAAGAAAAAGGATGGAATCAGCATCGAAAGGCGGGACTTGCGTCGTTGCTTTTTGGACGCCGGGGGTCCCTGGTCGACGTCTTGTATTCCACTTTCTCGGTCCGTGTCTGGAGTGGTCTCGGAGTCTGGTGTAGGTGGTAGCTGAACCACGCTGGGCTCCTGTATCCCCTTTTCACTTCCTGATAAAGTATTGTGACGAAGAGATGAGGAGAGGTGTTGCGAGGGGGTGCTCCTTCGGGGGAGGGGCTTGCGCCGGACTGAACCGGCGTCGACACTCGTGGAGGCCATGTCGAGCAACACCGGCGACACAGGCGTTCGGTAGTAGTATTGCGGCGGTAGACGGGAGCATCAAAAGTTCTGCTTCCCATCTTTTTCCCGTCGAAAAAAAAAGGGCGCTGTTGCCCGACCTTATACGCACTATTCATTCCAGTAAAGAATCTCCCACCCCTTATTGCCAGGGGCCCGGCACAAACGGGGGCACCACCTGGCGGTAGAGTCGTCGGGGTGCTGCGTTACCGAGAACCACAATGCGGTTCAAAGTGGATCGGGTAATACGCCATGTTGGTGGAGCGAAGTCGCTGTCGTGGTGTTTCTGGTGAATCGGAATTCGGAGGATTCGCCTCAAGCTTTCTGGGAAGAAGGAGGATGGCTAATATCGATGGTCGTACATCAGCAGTAGGGCGGGACACACTCGAGTGAAGGAAGGGTTGCCAACGGGGGACAACATGGAATTTGTTTCAGGACGACCAACATGTCCAGCTGCTCCAATGGGGCGCGATCGGCCTGGACTATGGTTTGATATTCTGGTCATCAACCACTTTAACTTGAAGGTCTACTCAGCGAGTGTTCCACCGTGACGCAGTGTCCCGCGTGGCTTTTCCCTTCTTGGGTCCTTGAGGATTCCCATGGTGGCCTCGCATGTCCTCGTCGGTGACACAGGATGCCGTATCCATAAAGCCACTCTGGGTCCTTTGACACACTCGCTGCCTCATCGGATCCTTTGAGTGTTTGACGACTTCTCCCTCCAGAGAAAGGGGTTCAGCTCTTGAAACCAAGGTACCATGAGGGTCCAGAGAGGGCACTTTCCATCAGCCTCATGCTCGTCTACCTATCGATAATGGCGGGGTCAAGGTAGGTACCTACCTTTCCTTACATGCCGAAGATGGAGGCTCCGCTGGGCCCTTGGGGTGCCTTTCCAGGTTTGGAGGAGGGGTTAGGGATGGTGGGCGCATGGTTGCGTGGATACAGGGGGTAAACTCTTGGGTTGTCACCCGCTGTTGTTTTGTCACTTTGCAGTTTACCGTTAGTTGCCAACAGACGGAATGCGACTTTGTCCTTGTTGCTTTTTCCCACTTCCAAGTTCTTATTTTCCCTCACATATTTTGACCTCTTTCCGGTCATAGTGTCCATCCTCTTGTTCACCGTATGTTCAATAAGGCTCTTGGATTCCCTTGATTGCGCAACAAGGAATATAGGTACGAAATTACCTATGGACTGGCCTCCCCTGCTCCACCAGGAGTAGGGATAACCCTGATATTCTCCGCCAAAATGATGAATCCTCTCCATTGCGGCCCTTTCCGACGTCATCCACAACATCCGGGGAAGGCTGAAAAGGTACACCACATTCCGAAGCACTGCCACTGCTACGCGCGTCTGCCACGTCAAACACAAGAACAAAGAGGAGCCCTGAGTGCATATCGACGTACTTGAGAGTCAACCAACCAATTCACGCACATGGCGGGAAGAGAGCTGTACAGTAGTGTACGTGTACGTGTATACAATCCCGCTTTTCAAACGACATTTTACGCAATATCTCGTTCCGTGGGTCCGCCTGGTAACGACAGCATTTGATTCCCCAATCGTGCAAACCCAACAACCTCCAGATTGCTCCCCGAGACACTGGTGAACCCCCGTGTCTTCGGGCCTCACTTCGACTCCATGGGTGGCCACATCAATCAGTCGATCGATATTCATTCTCCCAAGGAAAAGGAAGAGATCCACCTCGCTAATATCCCGGCAATGCGCTTTTCTTTTTTTACGGCGACGCTAGAACTGCCTGAAGGAACGGAAGCTACCTAAAGAAACGCCTCATTGTGCCCTCAGGGGCATCGAGGTACATACCTCTAGCGTATGTACATCTATTTTCGGCAGCAGGCCCATTGGTTACTTCTTGATCCTTCGGCTTCTGTTGTTTCCTCTGAGGAAATTACATTTTCACATATTCACATCCCGTCTGGAGCCGAAGATTCGTCGGGAGCCAACACACACACACCTCAAGACGCCTGTCTGCACGGGGAATCACAGCCAGACAACCAACAGACTACCTCTAGGTAGGTAACCATCAGCCAACCACGTGTAACACGCATGCATCCAACCCACTGAAACCTCGAAGAAAACTCTATAATGGGTACTACTACGCTGCATCTACACTACATACATAGGCCCACTGCATACCCGAGGGGATGGAACCGCCTCCTCCCCATCCTCGCCCTAGAACAAAATGGGCCAAAAGTGGTGGTGTGGTGTGCAAGTCCAAAACGGGTGACTTAAACTTTCAACTCGTGCTTTTCAATGATGCATGTGATGCTTCGCCTTACAACTACATTACCTACGGCGTGGAAAGGAGGTACAGCCGCCGGGACACACACACACACACACACAACCTCAGGATCTAACTCAGCCTCCTTCTGATCCTGCTGCCGCTCTCAGATGCGTTAATCTAACTACGCCTCTTTGATGCTTTTAACTATTTACTAGTAGAAACTGAATGAGGGTGTGCTTGTGTCCCCGCGCTTGTAAGCTTTGGGGTTTGAGAGAAGGTGTGACAATCACATCTAATGTGCCGTACCCGCAACCGCAACCGCTGAACCAAAACCGGGAGGTTTCCCTCACAAAGAAAATTATTTGGTGGATTGAATCAGTCCCATAGGTACCTCTACCGGTATGACGACTACCTATTCATCAACCCCTTGAAAAAAAAACTCAGACAGATGCCAGAAAATCTACCTACCTACATACCTCATTAGGTACCTTAAGTAACTTGATGCTCGCCTGTCCAATCAACAGACACTGCATGTGTGCATACATCCTTCGCGGAGAGCAAAACAAAAGACTTGGTTTCAATGGTCGGTTAATTGGCCTTTTTCAATCAATTGCACTTGTCAAAACTGGCCCAGCAAGAGCACCTTCTATTCTGTATGCTGCCTGCTGCCTCCTGTGCTTACCTACCTACTTACCTACTGTCGGGCGCTCAAAGAGGGATTTTATACCTAGAGGTACCTACCTACCTACCTAGTCTTTTTGCCAATCTGGCGAGTTTCTACCTACGCAATGCGGGTTTCGTTCACCTGTACGATTATATACTACCTACCTATGCCTTGGAATATGCCTTGTACGGTGGTATGCCTTGGATAGGTAGGCCTCGGGAATGGCTTTGGGATGGATGAGTTTGATTTACCAAGGTATGTAGAAAGAGGTATGATGTTTCGAGCATCAGTCAGCAGAGTTGGAAGCTACCTACCTACCTACCTAGGTAGGCGGGCAACCAGTCAGCCTAATCCTGTCTTTCTATTCCGAAAACTCCGACCACCCCGACCGCTCCGACATGGTTTTCCGTCCTGTTGAAAAGTCACTGCCTCTACAGTCTGAAGCAAGTAACTCACTCATTTCTAATCCTCGCATTGGCTTCTCCCGGGTAGGTTGCAAGGTTCATGTTCGCACAGAGTTTCCATCGAACCAGTAACACAGCTGGTTTGCCGGGGGTACATGGAAGGCGAGAGCGATAAACAAGTCCGAAACCGAGTGTTAGTCGACTGGTGAGTAGAGTAAGTCTGAGTGACGAGTTTGGGGTGAGATAAGCACACCATAGTCAGCAAGACTATTGTACTACAGGCCGATTAAGGACTAGAAGTCTCAACGAGTCGTGTCCTAAGTGACGATCCCTCGGGGTCTGCTGTCTAGGTATCTGACTGCCTGGTAAAGGTCAACGGATGCTACCTAGGTATGTATGTATGTACAAGCAGAGCACAACGGAAAGTTGGAAAACAAACTGCTCGGCTGAGCATAAGGAAACCCCTTTTTTCTTCCTAAAAATGCCGACCGTTGATGTGGAACTCAATGGGTCAAAGAACAGAGAAACAAGTCATTTTAGAAAAATTGTCCAAGGCTTATATCTTGAGAAGAGTGGTTGAAACTGCCTGCCTAGTCATTCAGGATATGCAAGGGACACACCATACAGGTGATACTGTAGTGAGTAAAGGTTCAACATAGACTTTTTGGGGTATCACCATCCAACGAACCACAACAAATTGAACAACAACAGGAATCAGGTATCATTCAAGCCTCCTCCAAGCCTCTTCCAAGCCTCTCCCAAGCACCCTATATTTCCTATCCTGGTACCAACGCAATGCCGCCTATCCTTCCTCACCATTTGACCCCAAGTATACAAAATATGGATGAACGATAGTAAGAATCCAACACGAAGACATGTCCCTGCACTGGCAAGTGCTCTCTGAATTCAAGGTCATGACGCGGAGTAGGTAGGTGGTCCTGACATCGAGAACCAACCAACCACACTGACCAAAAAGATCCTGGTATCTAACCAAAACATGAAGAAGAAAAAGAAGAAGAACGCCGCAACCCCATGCTTTTTCCCGTTAATCATTTACTCTTTTCACTTTCGCCTCCACGTCGCTGCCATTTCACCATGCTCTGTACGCCCCCCCTCCCGCTGCTGCTCCTCCTCCTCCTCCTCCCGGGCCTCCACCCGCGGGCGAGTAAGGTTTATACCCCGGATACGCCGCCGCTCCTCCCCCCTCATTCTGCCCTCCCATACTTCCTCCTTGCTGCTGTCCCATGGTTGGGCTCGGCCTGGAATACCCCCCACTACTAAAATCAAACCCTCCAGTAGCAGCAGCAGGACTACCACCATTGGTACCTCCCAAAGTACTCTGACCTCCCATAGTATTATTCCTCACCGGAGGCTTGGGCAACGGCCCCGTCGGCGCTGGGGAGGGTGTGGAGCGCATCATATCGCCGTAACTAGCTGCGTTGTTCCCCCCTCCGTAACTGTTGTTTCCGCCAAAGGTGTTTTGCCTCTGTTGCTGGGTGCTGCCCTGGGAGTATGGCTGGTTTGAAAAGCCGTCATACCTGCCCCCTGTGACTCCCGTTGTTGATTGAGGAGGGGGAGATTGGTGTCTAGGCCCACCGAGGCTGTCATACCCGCCCCCTGTGACTCCCGTTGTTGATTGAGGAGCGGGAGATTGGTGTCTAGGCCCACCGAGGCTGTCATACCCGCCCCCTGTGACTCCGGTTGATTGAGGAGCGGGAGATTGGTGTCGAGGTCCACCGAGGAAGGAATCATCGCCTGGCATTTCGTACGCCTGATTACTGCTGGGTCCTCCGTACCCGAGACCGTTCAATGGTTGCTTGGGAGCTGGCGACCGGCGGGTCATGGGGTTTGGAGGATAGGGTATTGAGTTCATTGCTGCGGCGGGTGGGGAGCGGACGCGGTTAGGTCCCATACTTCCAGCTGCCATCCCCATACCCGCTGCTACGCCACCGGCGGCCATGCCGTAGGGTTGTTGCTGAGAACTGCCGTAGCCCCCTTGGTTGCCGGAATCGTAGTTATCGTAGGGTGAGGTGTCGTAAGGAGAGGCAGGGCTATTGGTGCTGGCGCCGTAGGAATCGTAAGTGTTGCTTCGTGCGGTATCGTAGGTGTTGTTTCGTGTGGGCTCGCCGTAACGGCCATAGGCACCTTGTTGTTGGTTGCCGTAACCACCACCAGGGGCATTATACCCCACGTTTCCTACGGCAGCGGGGCCCATGGCGGAAGCGGCCATTCCGTATGGTGATGGGGATGAAGACTGGCCGTAAGGAGAAGTCAGGGATGCTTGGTTATACCCCTGTGTGTTCTGGCCGTAACCGTTATTGTTTCCGTAGAAGCCGTTGTTACCGGCCGGACCTCCGTAGGGACCCTGCTGGCCCCCTGGAGGTGGACTAGGTCGTGGTGTTGTTCCTCGTCCAGGTGCTACTGCCGGAATAGTAGCGGCCGCGCCGGACATGACCGCAGCCCCGGCACTGGCATCGGCACCGGCGCTCTGGACAGTCTTCTCCTCCGGCTTCTTCAACTGATCCAGCTCCACAGCCTCCTCTTCCACCATCACCTTCTTGTTCCCTGCGCCCTCCCACTCTGGCATAGCAGGCAGCGAATCGCCCATCGTCTGCCTCTTCTTATTGACTTCAAACTCAGCATACTGGGGTTCAGATGCCTGGGGAGTAAACGTGGGTGCCGGACGGCTTCCGAAGCCATGATCCATCGGCTCCGGAGCCTTGTAGCCCTGATCGGGTGGAACGTAGGGCGCATCAAGGTACTTATGTTTGCGAGCCCCGGGAGGATCGCAACAACCGCAGCAGTTTCCGCAGCATTGGAGGCATCGGAAGCACTCGCAACAGCAGGAGACACCACAGCAGAGACAGCGACCTATGCACCAACAAACCGAAAAGATGATGACACCGGCAAAGATCATGAGCCCGATGGCAGTCCATCTGTGAGAAGAAGGTCAGCCCGTGTCATTTCGGCGGCAGCGACACATTTGCCAGGGAACAAGGTTCGAGATGACGTACTTGCAGTAAGCAACCTTCATACAATTGTCCCAACTTGAAAACGCCGTCTTGACATTGTTGAAATCCTGGATGACATCTCTTTGTTCGAGCGGTTGTTGCACACTGCGCACCAGTAAGTTGACAAATCCATCCGCAATCCCCCCTTGGACACTCCTCCTCATGGCCACGTCTATCGCAGGCATTTTGTCGTCTTATTTTGTATTTCTAGAATGTTATATATATATTGTCCGCTCGTGGGTGCGGACCTTGGACAGGCCGGAGTGATTGACGACCTGTCCTATCGGTATGATTTGGGTATCGATGAAAAATTATTCGAGTCCAATCGCCTCTAGTCTCTCATTGTTTTCGTTTTTCTTGACCAAATTTCGTCCAAGTTCGTCATATAGCGTGCGAGTATCTGAGAATTCGATGAATCGTTGTCGACGATATAACCAAGAGAAAAGATCGTGACAGGTGTGTAAGGCTGAAAAGAGTGAACAGCGCGCTTGCGTGTAGAACAATGGATATTGTTGAAAGAATGTGTCGTCTACCGTATACCGATACTGTCTGAATGCGTCGTTCGTCCGTTCGAAGATGGCGAAGTCGAAAGCGAAGTCGTCTGTCGTCTGTCGCTAAGCGCGAGCGGCGAGCGGGTGAAGGAGCAATCCAAATCCAACCTGGACCAAAATCCCGAAACAATTGGGCAGGGCGACAGTACAGTATCAGACTGAACCCTTCTGGCCGTTCTAGGCGTGTCGTCGGGTTGGACAAGACGGTCGCACAGGTCGGGGAGGTTGTCGCACTGAGTGGTCGTCTCAGATTAGAATTGAAACCACAGAGACGCGACGCAGTAACGGTAGCAGTGTGGACCGTGAGAAGTGACAGGCGGGAGGTGAAGCGAGAGGACGAGGAGAAACGACCGGCACCACTCGATGTGAAAAGGGGGTATCGGCAGTGTAGTACGTTCCCTCTTGAGGCCAAGAACGAAGCGAACCCGGGACCGCGGAACCTGGGAAGGCGAAGAAAAAAAATGAAGATGGGAAAAGATAGGATTTGCGCCTCGCTGGTGTGGGACGGGAAGGGTCAACAGGCATCCAACTGAAGGGAACCCCCAACAATGCGGGTGAGTGGTGCGGTGGACTTTTAGTGCGCCTTCGAATGACCCGCTTGTTCCTGGTCGTCTTCCACAACCCCGGCTCTGCTGCAAGGTACGGACGGGCTGTGATGGGCTAGGAACGGGGCAACGCCAGGGGACCAGGACGGGGCAGTGGACTGTTCTTGGGTGGGATTTGCTCACCAAGGGTCCTCACTTTGTCCGCTTCAGTGTTCCTCAAGGCTTTTTCGGGTCGGTGGTGAAATGGTGAAACACCAGGCTAATGCGTCTTGAATTTGCGCGATTATCTAGTAAGTAGTAGGATAGAAGGATAAACGGTAGCACGCATCCGGTAAAGGGATTCCGGTGACCGGAGATGTGGATATGCGTGGGTAGGTATTCTCTACGAGGAATGTAGATGTTCAAAGACCTGAACTCCCAAGGCCGCCAGCAAATGCTCGCTACTTACCGAAATAAGAAAGCTGCGAGGAAAAGGCCGCCGGTTTTATGAGCAAAAGCGCCCTTTGTATACACAGCCTTCTTCCTCTCTCTTGGCCTCCCTCGCCTGGGAAGCCAAATGTCTCAGTGTATCAGTCACGTCACCAGCACAGAATTCCCAAGCGCCGAGCCTCACCAGCGGGCACCTGCGGCCTGATTCGCGCGGCCGTGCTTGCGCAAAGAAACCGGATGAACCTCTTTGCGCAGCTGATATCGATCCGTCAAAGCTCCGAGCAATGCCGCCGCCTTCGGCCCCTCCCCACTTGAGACGCACGGCCGGGGCAGAGAACCAACGAAGCTAGAAAGTGGGATCCGCGGACGGGAGTCGCGGAGTGGGACTGTCGGCCGCTTATCGCTTCCAAACCTTTCAACGGCTTGTCCTAGCCTTGACGAGCCTGGAGCCTGGCAAGGACTTGCGAGGTGGGATGTGATGATGCGATACTGGTGTAAGAGATACTCAGCGGGCACGTGGTGGGTTAAAAGGGCTCAATGGGTCAGAAGGGCGCCACGACCTAGCGGGGTGAAAGATTGTGATAGACCGATGGTCCTTCTTGGAGACTTTGCTTGTAGGAGCCATCGTCCGGTAGGTTCTCCAGTGCAGGGGGGGCAGTGGTGGTGTGCGTCGTGCGTACGTGCGCGCGTGCGCGGCCGAGTCAGGTAGGTGAGTGGACATGTAAAATGCCATGTTGTGACGGTGATGCACACGCGATGACCGGGCAGTGTATGTAGGTAGGTAGATATTCCCGGAACAGGAGAGATGCTAAAGCTGTGGCAGACGGACCGCCAAGTTTGTTTGGGTCGTGATATTACTTGTAAAAGTTTCGAAACCACCAGAGAGATTGAGGTGAGTGAGGCCGATAAACGCGGGTCGCGGACGCCGGCGGGCAAATCATCAGGTGATGCGTCATCGCATTGTCAGCTGAGATCAGTTAAGGAAGCTCTGAGATTCAGGGGGGTTAGGGTTATCAATGCCCTAACTACCTGCAGACCCCTCACCTGCTCTTATAAGCTGACCACCCGGCACAAGTAGGCAACCAACAAACCAGAAATGGTCACGTAGCGGAGTGGTTACCGCGATGCTCTTGTGAGTCTTGACCCCGAAGATACCTTCTCCAAAGTGTTTGTCCCATACTAACACACGCAATTAGATACCTCCAAGCCATTGGAAGTTATGCATAGGTCCTGGGTTCGACCCCCAGCGCGACCACGGTTTCTAATTTTTTTGCAACTTTTCCCCCTTCGTTTGGTTTCCATTTGTTTCCTTTCCCCCTTTGCATGCATGACTTGCCCCCAAGACCTCCCGTCTCCGTGCTCCGGTATCTCGATGGCGGCACCCGACACGATTGAGCTCCCGTCTGGAGCAGACAGCTTCCTTATCGTTCAACGTAACCCGCCTTTTTGCCTTATCGCTTCGCTTGGATGGTGTCATTGCCAAGGGTATCCCGGGAGCCGTTCCGTTTCCCCATTTTGGAAGTCTGGATATCCACGGCGGCGGAGTCGCAACACCTCATCGTCACAATTCTCACCATGTCTGCCATGAAGTTTCATTGTCACATTTTGTCACATAGGTACGCAATTGCTTCAAAGTCAAATTACTCATCAACAACAGTAGGAATGATATCTATTCATTCCGTCTGTATGTTCATTTCGCTTGTCAGGAGAGCCTAATGCATTGTGTCTACTGTGTGGGATCTGGCGGCCCAACTCTCCCGAGTCCCAGCTATGAGTGCCATGTCGAGCCGCATCTTGATTCATCATCTATTACACATCTAGACTTCCGGTTTCAACACGAACCAAAAACCCCAAACTCCCCATTCCGCTATTGATGCGCTTCTTCCTTCCCGTTTAGTTGTACTGGGCATAGGCCGCAGTAGAGTTGAACTTGAGGTTGCCCTTGATGACCTTGTCCACCGCACTCAAGAAGTCCTTCTCCGACGCCACCTTCCTGCGCGCACGGATGGCGAACATGCCCGCCTCCGTGCAAACACTACGCAACTCAGCACCCGTCGCGTTCGGGCACAGGCGAGAAATGAGCTCCCATCGGATATCGCGCTCGACCGACATGCTCTTGGCGTGGATGCGCAAAATGTTGGCACGACCCTCGAGATCGGGGAGAGAGAACTCAATCTTGCGGTCGATACGTCCGGGACGCATCAAGGCGGGATCCAGCGTGGAGGGACGGTTAGTAGCAAACATGACCTTGATGTTGCCACGGGCATCGAAACCATCCAGCTGCGTAATGAGCTCCAACATGGTACGCTGAACTTCGTTGTCACCACCCGCGCCGTCATCGAACCGGGCTCCACCAATAGCATCAATTTCGTCAAAGAAAATAATGCAGGCCTTCTTGGTGCGGGCCATCTCGAAAAGCTCGCGGACCATACGGGCACCCTCACCGACGTACTTTTGAACCAGCTCGGAACCAATGACACGGATGAAGGTGGCGTCTGTCCTGTTGGCAACGGCACGGGCGCAAAGCGTCTTACCGGTACCGGGAGGTCCGTATAGCAGGGCGCCCTTGGGGGGATCGATGCCGAGATTGACGAACCGCTCTGGCGACAAGAGGGGCATCTCCACGACCTCGCGTAGCTTCTCGACCTGTTCCTTGCAACCACCGACATCGCCGTATGTGACGTCGGGCTTTTCCTCGACCGTCATCATGGTAACGCTCGCATCGATCTTGGGAGGCAGCGGAAGGAGAATCTGATACTTGTTTCTGTCGACGCCGACGCGCATTCCTTCCTCGATATCTGTCGGACTGACTCGCTCGCCCAGCTGGACCACAAACTTGGCGATCTGCTTGACGTTGATGACGTACTTGCTCTTCGATTCGTCCTTCTCGTCAGGGATGATCTTGGTGCACCGCGCTACCTGAAGCGGTTGCTCTTCTGACATACGCTGACGGTCGGCTGCCACATCCCAAAGGTGAGGGGGCGCAAGGCCGGTATCTGATTCCTGTAGACCAAAAGTATCACTGGTCAGCTAGATGCGCTTCGCGGTTTGTAGGGCAGCCACCGCAAGACTAGCATACCTTGACGCCAATCTTCTCATCCACGCTCTGCTGCTTCTCCTTTATTTGCTGTTCTAGCTTCTTGATGGCAGCACCGTAGGGCGCGGCGCCGTATGTCTTGAGGACCTGGATATCCCTTGACGGGGGTTAGACGACTTGTCCGTTGTGGTGGTGGTGGTGGTGGGCGGGCTCTCTTGGGCGGCAACATACTCGTCTGAGAGGGGAGTGATCTTCTTCTCCTCGACTTCATCGTCGCCAAACGTTTTCCTGTACTTCTCCCAGTTTTGACCTGTAGCAGAAGGCTATTCCCGGTGTCAGTCGTGCAAAGTGGCGTTGCACCTTCTGGTAGGGCGACTGCAAGCATACCATGATGACGGCGGGTGGGAATGACGCTTTCCCGTTTGAACTAAGGCGAAGAAGGGTGGGTAATCGAAGGGATCGGGTCGGTAAATAAAGTCGCGATGGCGCCGGTCGAGAGATTCCTTGTTTGGCGTCGGGTCGTTCGTGGGGTTATAGAGATATCGACGCGGGTTTGATGTGGTGTGTCGGGTTGGTTTGATTGCTTGATGTGATGGATGGATGGATGGATGGAGATGGTTCGTCAAGGTCCAACTGCCACCCACTGACAGAGAGGGTCGAAGCTCAGTCGTTGCCGTAATCCATGCGCTGCCTTGCGGGCGAGGGAGCTACGGGTGGGTGCCACCTTGACAGCACCTACCTAGCCCTATCCGGTTAGACCGTGTAAGTTACAGCGCCGCAGGTACCTTTTCCACCGCCCACCGCTCAGCAAAAAGCAGCCGACAAAAAATTACCACCTGCCAGCCCACCTTTGCGCCCGCGCCAGCACTCACTTTACGGTCCCGCAGTGGAAACATTGGTAAGTAGTACGGAGGGGAACGGTGTGTGTTTTTGGCCCATTGATTCCAGACCAGCAAAGAAGGAGAAGAGGAGAGCTCTGCCTTACAACACAACAACTGCACTGCACCCAGCGCAAGCCGATTCCCCAAAACTGTCAACTCGACTTTCCGGCAGTTTCTGATCCCCATCCGACCTCCCGTCTGCTATCTCCCATAATCCCAAATACCAGATCAAACAAGCTTGCACCATGGCGACCGCACCGGCAGCTACCCAGACGGCGAGCAATGCGACTTTCAGGGTGCGTCCCGCTTTTTGGAACCTGACCCCTCGATAGGAGTCGGTGCGAAAGCTCCAGGAGGAGGGGTGAAGCTCTGTGGCAAGCCAGTTGCTGATAGCCCACAATGTAAACAGGACAAGGAGAAGCCCATCGCCGTTCGCTCATCCAACATTGTCGCCGCCAGAGGTATGCCTACAACATTTTGCAATTCCGTCTTGTGTCGTTGTTGTCTGTGGTGCTGACACAGAGACATGCACCAGCCGTCGCCGATGCCGTCAGAACGTCGCTGGGACCGCGGGGTATGGACAAGATGATCATGACTGGAAAGGGGGAGACCATCATCACCAACGACGGCAGCACAATGTTGAAGAGCATGTCGGTCATGCACCCCACAGCCAAGATGCTCGTCCAGCTGTCGCACGCCCAAGATGTCGAGGCCGGTGATGGCACAACCTCGGTCGTCGTCCTTTGCGGTAGCTTGCTCGGTGCCGCCGACAGGCTACTAGGCAAGGGCATCCACCCCTCAGTCATCTCCGAAGCTTTCCAAAGAGCCGCCGCCGCTGCCGTAGACGTCCTCCACGACATGTCGCAACCCATCTCCCTCACAGATACCGCCTCGCTCCTCCAGGCCGCCAACACTTCGCTCTCCTCCAAGATCGTGTCACAATACTCCAACCTCCTCGGCCCCATGGCCGTCAACGCAGTCACCAAGACGATAGATCTCAAGACCGCCGAGAATGTCGACCTTAAGAACATCCGCATAATCAAGAAGGTCGGCGGTACGATCGAGGACAGCGAGCTGGTTGATGGTCTCGTCCTTACACAGCCCGTCATCAAGAGCGCTGGTGGTCCCGTCCGGATGGAGAAGGCCAGGATCGGTCTTATTCAGTTCCAGCTCAGCCCTCCCAAGCCTGATGTGCGTATACCTTTCTGGCGACCATAACCTACCTAACTTGCCTGCTGGCCCTTGATCGCCCAAATATTGCCCTTTACTAACAACTCACTCTTGCAGATGGAAAACACCATCTCCGTAAACGACTACCGCCAGATGGACAAGATCGTCAAGGAAGAGCGCACCTACCTCCTCAACATGGTCAAGAAGATCAAGAAAGCCAAGTGCAACGTCCTCTTCATCCAGAAATCCATCCTCCGCGACGCCGTCAACGACCTGTCCCTGCACTTCCTCCAGCGCCTCGGCATCCTCGCCGTCAAGGACATCGAGCGCGACGAAGTTGAGTTCATTTGCAAATCGACCGGCTGCAAGCCCATCGCCGACATCGACTCCTTCACCGAGGACAAGCTCGGCAGCGCCGACCTGGTCGAGGAAGTCAACTCCTCCGGTTCCCGCATGGTCAAGGTGACGGGCACCAAGTCCGCCGGCAAGACCGTGTCCGTCGTCGTCCGCGGCGCCAACAGCCTCATCCTCGACGAGGCCGAGCGCTCCCTGCACGACGCCCTCTGCGTCATCCGCTGCCTGGTCAAGAAAAAGGCGCTCATTGCCGGTGGCGGTGCCGCCGAGATCGAGATCGCCTCGCAGCTGGCCAAGCAGTCGCGCGCCCTGAGCGGCACCGAGGCCATCTGCTGGAAGGCGTTCGCGGACGCCATGGAGGTGATCCCGACGACGCTGGCGGAGAACGCCGGCTTGAACAGCATCAAGGTGGTGACGGACCTGCGCCACAGGCACGAGAACGGCGAGAAGAATGCCGGTGTCAGCATCAAGAGCGGTGGTGTCAACCCGAATATCGCCAAGGAGAATGTTTTGCAGCCATTGTTGGTCAGCACAAGCGCCATCGAGCTGGCGGCGGAGACGGTGAAGATGATTCTCAGGATTGACGATATTGCTCTTAGCAGGTAAATGTACTGAAGGTTACAAAGGAAGACAAAAAAAGAAAGAAACGAAATGAAAGATGATGGCAGAAATATGTTGTAACATGTACATATTGTAATTAAATGGTTCTGGATGAACACTTGTTGCAATACTTGATCTATCCGTGACTGGTGACTGAAACATCGGTAGCGACATGACACCAGACAGGTTATGGGTAGTTTCGTTCGTAACTGGAGGGGCTGAGGTGATAAAAGCTTTCATACATCGGCCAACTACTTACTCTAAACACGAACCTCAATAACTGAACTTAATAACGATGTACTTTCATCAGTCGCTATTGTTGACGATGGATGATATACGGCCCTAGCCAACCGCTCCTGTTGACCATCATTAATTAGTACATGTCGGATGCTGTTTCTCGATGGTGCTGTAAGTAGTAAGGATATGTCAGTTATACAATGTCTTGGGCGGATGTACAAACTTTGGGTTGGAAGCATCCTACTCGGGCTGGCCTTTGCCGCGGATGGTAGCATATATCATAGGTTTGATGTAGACATGTGCAGGTACTTAGTAGCATCACTACCTCAATTTTTAACTCTTTTTTTTTTTTTTTTTTTTTTTTTTTTTTTTTTTTTTCCCCCTCGGAAAAGAAGAGCGAGGGGGAAAAGATATAGAAAGACAGGGAAACAAGAAACGCTTGCAATTCAGATCTATATTCGACTTGGGCTGCTAATTTATGTACTAAGCTCAGGTTTGATGCATCATGTTGTTGATAATGGAGTGTCCTTTCTTAATAAGTGTGCATGAAAGAGGGGATGAAAAAGAGGAAGTGAAAACAGGAGGCGAAGACAATACTCAACCATCTATTTATATCTATAATGAGGCGAGGGAGGTCGGTTACGATAAGTACTTGGTTAGTTCCGTCTCATTGTGTAGTGTTATGTTATGCTTGTCTCGCTGCTTGCAATGAATGTTCCAAGTAATCACGACAGGCCCAACATGCTCTCTCATATCATATATAAATTTTCATGATGAGGTCCGATTTTCATTTCTATCCCTTTTCTTTTACCGTAACCGTCCTCATACTCCATGCTCAAACATGACCGATAGACTTGCTACTATACAGACCCATATGCTATCAACTTTCATTTCAACGTCATACTTATCATGCTACTGTATCCTTTGCCCAATTCTCTCAGAATCTGTCTGGTGAGACCTCATTGCTGCCAGCCATGAGTGTCGAAGCAAGTAAGACCCTAATGACTACCAATGCTTGCTTCGCACACCTCCAATTCTCCCCTCTAATTCCTTTTCTCTCCCTGTACGCCTTCACTTTTCCTAAGCCTAGTCTGCCCAGGGTTTTGTCCTAGGTCAAAAAAATCCCTTGAGGTTAAGTCCAAGACTGAGCTTTCCCAAGCAATTGAACGTAACCCGTTTCTGTCAAGGTGGTTATTCGTGCAAGGTTGATAGCTAGTGGATGTACCACGCCAGTGGACGCGGCAGAGTATGTTCTTGTACTTCCAGTACTTGAAATCCTTTAAGCTCCTCCTCCACTCAACATCATCGGTACACCCAACCTACAATTTGGTTCTCTGTCGGTTGTCCATTTCCTCTCGGATGTGGCTAAGTATACCAGACTTAGGGGTTAAAGTGGGCGTCGGATGTATCTTCCACTCTCTTTCGTTGATAAGAAAACTGTGGTTCCCAAGAGGTGAATGCGTCCTTTGGCAAGTTCTTCTCGTAGTGGCGAAAACGTTACGGGCCACAAGGTCAACATCAGTGTGCTGTGAGTGGCCGTCCACAATTGGGTCAGCATTCGGCTTCCTCCAAGCAGAGCAGACCTCCGCGCTCATTTGTGCCTTTTCTCTTGTACAAGCAATGCCGTCAATGGTAGAGCCCCATCCTAGAGTTATCATTCATTGGAATGACGGGGCGTTGGCGTTTCTTTAGGTTCCAGATTCCATCTCCTTTATTGATGGAATAAAGCCGCGGGAGATGTCGTCCAATATTCCTTCCCTCGGCTTACAATAGTCGGGTAGGGAAAGAGAGCATTCTGAAACAACCATGAGATGGTTGGTTCTATCACTCTCCTATCCCTCCATACAATACCACTTCTTCCTTTCGTGCAGAGCCCAATGATTTGACAGCGGTACCTCAAATCATATCGTCCGTAATCTTCATGGCCGAGCAGTAGCAGTATTACAGAAGTCCTTGATCCAAATCCGGAGGCAGTCTGTTTTGTTGCTCAGACTGTTCGTGTCGAGTCCTGAGATGTATGCCGTGTCATCCCCCAAAGGAAGGTAAACAGCCCAAACACACCACATCCCCATTGGCCCCTCTTTCTTCGCAACAATGACCGCATATCATTTCCCGGTGGCCGTCGGCATGCCATCCAGTAGTCGTTGGTTTTAGCCTTGATCTTTCTTTTTCGGCGACCTCATCCAAGTCCACCTCCGTCTCTGTATCCGCATCCAGCATCGCGAACGAGTTCTCAGGACTTGAGCTCGCCAGGGGAATATCTTGCACTTGCGCTTCTTGTTCTCCGGTTTCGTTATGGTGATGTTGCCCTTGATGATGGAAACTCGATGTCCATCCGGGACATTGCCTCATGCATACATAGCACGTACGCTGGCCGCAACCTTGGCAGTCGGCGTACGAATCCAGGTCGGCCTTCTTGCTCGGTTTTCGAAAGCAAATATGACACCTGTCTAGACATTTGATCTTGGACAGCAAAGCGGGTTGTTTCTGGTGGTGGGGATGAGAAGCAGCAGTTGGAGAATTGGGCTTGGCTCGCGTGCCGTGGTGGCTGTCCTCTCGGTGGTGGACTTCATCGGACACGGACATGCGTTGTTTCTTGTTGATGGCGATCGGTATTATCTTGCGCAGGGTTGGCGGGTAAGGCTGATGCATGGTGGGATTCGCGTAGGAGGATTTGTCGGCTAGGATTCCGCGTGTGGTGTCGAGGGCTGGGTGGGAGCTGGAGTAGAGGAAGAAGGGGTCAGCGAGCTGGGATGGCGATGGGAGGTTTGACATGTAGTCCGCATACAATGGAATCTGGATGTTACCCGAAGTGTACGAATTCTCGACATCGTCTCGCCTCCTCTTCTTGGCCGAGGGGATCCTCTCATGGGTGACGGATGGCATCGTCCACTCCCGGTATTCGAACACAGCTTGTTGACGGGAACCGTTCTCGTGATGGTTACAACGCAGCTGAAATTGCGAGTTGGTGGTGACAAGAACAGACTTTAACTAGTCAGGAATTACAGAGCGAGAAGATTGACGTGTTGAATTTAAGCCAAGGAGGAGAGAATGATGGATGGAAAGAGAAACAGTTGGGAGCAAGTCGAAGCTCGAGATTACGAAAAGTGGAGGCAACGATGCGATTTCAGCCCTGCAGTGCAAGTGCGTTGTCGAGGTTCGCGGGTACCTGCCCGCTGAAACGCGCTACAGTACACAAACAGTATCCAGGGTTAGTAATTCACTGTTGGCGGTCTTTGGGCGGACGGGACTGGAGTCATGGCTTAATTGGTCCCTGAATTGGGACTCTCAGCGTCTTTCAACGACTGGAGGCAAAACGGAAATGAAACACCAATTGTGCACTAGCGCGTCAGGGTTGTAAGTGGCATTTTCAACGGCCGTGAAAAACAAAAGGTCAATATGTTTGTTGACACTGGACCATAAGTTTTGACATTCACCCGAGATGCCGAAGGAACGAAGATGAGCAGGTAGCAGCTCTCGGCCGGTCTTGCTATACCCAGGGACCTCCTATATCTAACACGCCCGGCAAAAGTTGTTCGCCAATGGATTCTAATCTCTTGACCGCTTGACGCGTCTGAAAGGCGTGTCGCCGTGCGCTGACAGGGCCGAGTAAGTCTAGTAACGATATCGCCAACAGTCAAAGGAGAGACCCCTTGGCCCTCTTTTGAGAGCTACACTAAAATGATAGCCAAGACGCTCTTGGCTTCTAGAACGATTTGGCATTCCACGGCTCCCTTATTCCGGTGAAGAATCCCAGTCTGATGTCATTGTCTCAGACATGATCGAGATGTCGCAATGAGAGAAACCAGGTATGAAGGAAGCCGTCACGAATCAGAGTTGCCAGTCGCCGCTCGATGTCGTGATAGAGGTATGTACAGGTAATCTGAACAACAGTGGACAGTTCCCCAGCAAATGACAACTCGATATGATGCCCAGACAAGGGTCAGCGTGGCTACGAAGAGACAGACTCCAGAGGTTCGTCGGGTGTCTCCCGGCCTTCTCCATACCAAGAGGCCCCAAAAAGGTGGGGAACGCACAGAAAAAAGGGGCTAGGGGACAAAGTAAACAAACCTTATTTGGTCTAGGTAGGTAGTCTGTCTGTCTTGACCTTTGAGTGTTCGTTTTGTTGTGACAAGGTCGCAAACTGTCGGACAGAGTTACTCCGGAGGTTGCGAATCCTGTGCAGTTTATCCCAGACCAAGAGCTTCATCGTAGACAGGGTATGAGGTGACGGAATAGTGAGGCATGATCACTTGAATATCTCGTCCAGGGATAAGTGCAAATCATTGTTTCGTAACCCCGTCCGGTTATCTTATCGAACTTTAGCGGATTCCAATAGCTGCTAATCCCGAGAATCCCGTCGTCGGAAAGCGATCGGGAATCGGGGCGGATATCCAGTTATCTACTTGTTAGGATACCAAAATGAGATGTGAAAATTTGGCAGAAATGAATAATAATGAGCCACGTTGCTTGAAGTTGTCTCCGCAGGCGGGTGTTTGCGTGCAAATACGCAGTGGGACAATAAGTACCAAGGTTACCTTCAGGCCAATATTGGGATGAAATACTCGAGGCGTTATCTGACCGATCCTGCATCAAACACTCGGCTTGTGGCTGCCAGGACCCTGGACGCGCGCTGTGTTTGGAAGGTTGGACGAATTGATCATTGCTTGTTTTGATGTGCGTGCAGCGCAACTCACATGCAGACAGGCGTATGCGTTGGTGCCAGCTGACCATTCTGCTATCTTTCCACTGCCAGGCATCCGACCGCACTGCAGGCAGGCCACTGACCCTGCTTGGTGGCGTCACGTGGGCAGGCTAGGCAGAAAGCAGCAGCCCCACCCGCCTGTGGCCGTTTCCAACTCGAACTTTCTCCTCATCCCTCCCGCGTCCACCCGTCCAGTCTCGCATCAGCCTCACTTATCTCTTTCGCCATTTCCACTTTGCACTTGAACACCACCACCACCACTCCAGCTTCGTCGCCTGAAACACCCCTCTTTGAACGCCCTACCCATCACCAACAATTAGTTTCCCCGAGTCGAGCCCTACCAATATCGACATCGAGATATGAGTCGCGCCAACAAACTTGGCCCTGAAGTGAATCGGTGAGTCCGCGAGTCCCTTTGCGGTCACCCTGCCGTCCACGGGCGTCCTATCGATCGCCTGCCCGCCCGCCCGCCGCCTGTCGGTACACACACATACACACCTTGCCTACACCTACCTACAGCTACTTGGCTACATTCCCTATACGTCCCTCCATCAATCGCCCTCCTGTCCCACGTCAACTTTAGACATCTACCATTGAGCATGACTAACCCCTGGCATCTACACAACAGAGCTTTGTTCGTAAAGAATCTAAGGTACGCCATCGCCTCCCTCGCTGTCGTCAAGATGTCATGGACATGTCACGGACTAACATGTTTCGACAGCTACAACGTAACTCCGGAGGAGCTCTTCGACCTCTTTGGAAAGTACGGACCTATCCGGTATGGCATCCCGTCCCTGGCGACCATCATGTCGTCCTCTCACTGACACGTTGGGCTATAGTCAAGTTCGCCAGGGCATTGCGAGCAACACAAAGGGCACTGCCTTCGTTGTCTATGAGGACGTAATGGATGCGAAGCAGGCGTGCGACAAGTTGAATGGTTACAACTTTCAGAACCGCTACCTCGTTGGTATGTGCTTGTGTCCCTGACCTCACATGGTCGCCATGCTAAGGGCCCGCTGACCGTTATGCAGTACTATACCATCAGCCCGACAAGATGAACAAGACAAAAGAGGACCTCGATGCCCGCAAGGAGAATCTAGAACGCATCAAGAGGCAACACGGGATCGATTGACAGTTAGACGGGCCTACGGACAGCCTCCGAATTCGACAACGATCGTCTGGAGGCCCGTCTTCTATGAATACTTCCTCCTCCAAGACCAGGGCGGCGCCGCGCACGACGGCGCCGAGCACACCGGCTTCGAGTAGATCAGCACCACCGGCTGCTTCGAGCAGATCATCGCCGCCGGGACCGACCCGAAAGAAGGACAGGTCGCCGTTGACCTTTTACGCGCGGAGCTCCATCCCTCACTTCGTGCGCAAGCTGCTTCCCACCGTCCCAGAGTGCGCCTAAACGATAAACCCTTGTTATCACAAATTGGATCCCCCAGTGTACGAATGACAACAGAAGAGATTCCACGAACGACGCGCAGTATCTCGTACACGTGGCCGGATTCGGCTCTGGCGATAGGCTTTGTGTTGCCTTTGCCATACTCCTCTCATCACGAAGCCTCTTACCGAAACATCATACATCATCATTAAACTCGTTTTCTCACGGATCGATTTGTTATTTTTGGCGCTGCTCCCTCATTGTTGTTGCGTTGGCATGGGGGAATGCGACGGGGTTATAGGTGTGATGGTTTGATGGACTGTTTTTGCTTTTTATACTCTTTTACGTTGGGCTTCAGCTGTAAAAGCCCCTGGGCGCGCGCAATGCTTTCATGGCCGCTTTGCTGCTGGCCTTCCTTTGCTCCCCGGTTGTCTTTATCCTAGGGGAGGATTGCATCATGACTTTCCAACTACTGAACTGGCATTGGGATGCGGGAACAACTGAATAGATGGCGACACAGAATCCCCATGGCGCAAGAAGCCGTGAGAGGAGATTGCGACGAGATAATTGCAAACCTAGTCATTACCCATTGGTCACTGTATTTTGGAGTGTTGGCTTTGTCCCACTGCTTGGTCAGACGCTCGCTCAGAATCCACCTATTTCCTGCACCCTGATGATGGTTGTTGCCCGTGAACCTTGATAGACAAATTTTACGCGACTCAAATAACACTCGGCACAAGGATATCACATATCATAGCCAAAGTGAAATGACGTCTGTCAGGCGGCTGAGCCATGTGACGCGTGTGGATTCAATGTCGAAGCAAGCCTGGCATGCTTCTCAGCCCTGTAGGTCGGCCGTTAGATGTTTGATGCGGGACGGCGGTATGTGAACTGAGCATCTAAGCCACCTGCTTTCGCCACGGTCCGCCAGCACATGCAAGTTTTTTGTCTTGCGTGCAATGTCCCTACGGAGAACAGCAAGATGCAACTATTCCAGCATGATACGAGATTGAATCTGCCATCTCACGTCCTTCGGTTTCACCTGATGCTCGTACCATAACCACACAACACACATTCGTCCCAACTCCTCAGCTTCATTTCATCTGGACTCCCGACGGTGCCTAAAAAGAATTAGGATTGTGACGGACAGAGGCTGAAATGGCCAAAATGTCGTTACGTGTTTTTAGACGACGGGAAGCATATCCAGCAGCCGAGCGGACCTGGGTGCGGAGCCGCCATGCAATTAGGTTGTGGATCCATCTTGATACACCCGTCCTCAAGTGGATCCCGTTCAGGCAATATTTGTACGGCTCCACTGTAGGGTAAGGCCAGAGAAATATCAACAGCCAATAACAAGTCGACATGCGACTATGCAACTGGCCTATGACGGTACGGTAAGTACGGGACCTTGCTGTGCATCGCCTCCGCCCTTGACGTGCTGTGCTGTAACTTGTAAGCGCAGGAACAGGCGGCGTCACCTCTCCTCGCTCTTGAATTCGATTCAAACCAGGGCTTTGTTCTAACGGCGGCTGTGATACGCGACATTGGTTGTTATGTACTGACTGTCTCATTTCCCGGTTTGGAAATACACACAAAACTTGACATGCGATTTCGGAAAACGATAACCAAAATCAACCAAGTGGCTGGACTGCGAATGCGACTGAATGCGCTTAGCGTCATCGTCCTGCTCCTTCTCCAACTCAACGTTTCAACGTTTCAAAAGTGGAAAGCTGGGATTCAACAACCGAACGGCTGAAACTTGACAAGTCCACTTGTTCGGAACTTTGCACCGATCAAACCAACATTACACCAAACCAGTCCCGACAGTACCGTGACCTACAATCACCTAGAGTCGAACGAAACCATCACCACGGGACGAGTCTACCTCTAGCCGCTTGAACCATCTGACTATTGTGCGACACACAGCAACGTCACCGTGTTCGAGCGCCCCTCTTTTGTCTAGATCGTCTCTGACGACGACGACGACGACGCCTCCCGACCCTGTTTTTCTGTTGGGAGAAACCTGTCTCGGAAATATCCAAGACCTTAATCTTCAATTAACCCGCCAGACTTACACACCATTAAATGTTTCCTCCCTCTCTTCAACCACCGCCACCTCCAGGACCCTTAGCGCCGGGTCTTGCTCCCCTCAGCGCATCACCGCCTTTATCTTTGTCAGGACAGCGTCGCAATGTTGATATCCGCCTTGACACACCGGTTGTGAAAGTAGCCAGCGGTACCCTACCCTCTCACCATCGTCTGCGCATCGGCACAGTCGACGGCCTCCATCGTCGTCTAGGTGGCGAGGCAGCTGCTGGTGCGGATACCCGTCCCGATTACTTTGTCGACCCGCAAGTAGACACCCAACTCGACGATCCCGACGCCCAAGACACGGAACCACAACCATTCGAAACCTTTCCTCACGTCGTTAACCCGCCTGCTCCCACCGGAACCGTTATATCCGTCACCATGACTCCCACATCGCAACCTACGTCGTCAACATCACAACAAGCCTCCCCCATGGCTCATCAAACAGACAACAACACCGAATGCCGCCTACTCGGCCCTTTCGCCATCCTCGTCCAAATTGCCCTCGGCTGCTTGGCTCTATTATCACTAGTCTACAAGCGCTGGCGCGAACGGCCACAAAGACCGGTCAAGATCTGGTTCTTTGATGTGTCGAAACAAGTCTTTGGGAGCGTCTTGGTGCACGCCGCCAATGTGTTTATGTCCATGTTGACAAGCGGCAAGTTTGAAATCAAAGTGTTGGATCCGGTGGCAGTGGCGGTGGGGACCAAGATGGTGAAGCGCGCTGTGGAATATGGGTTATTGAGTGCGAGAGGAGAAGACGAGTACACGCCCAATCCGTGCTCGTTCTACTTGTTGAACTTGGCTATTGATGTTTGTCTTCCCTTCGCCTCCCTTTTCCTTTTCTTTTTTTCGTTTTGTCTTTTCTCACTGGAACAAACCACCGTACTAACAGAAATAAAAACAGACAACCCTCGGCATCCCAATCCTCATTCTCATCGTCCGCCTCCTCTCCCGCGGCCTCCAATACACCCCCCTCGGCCAACCTCCCGAATCCCTCCAATCCGGCAACTACACCCCCCTCCACTCCCCACCCGGCACCAAACCGCGCTGGAGCTGGTGGTTCAAGCAATCCATCATCTACTTCATCGGCCTCTTGGGCATGAAGTTCTGCGTGCTCATCATCTTCATGGTCTTCCCCTGGATTTCGCGCGTGGGCGACTGGGCCCTCGGCTGGACCGAGGGAAACGAACGGCTGCAAATCATTTTCGTCATGATGCTTTTCCCGCTCATCATGAACGCCTTACAGTACTATATCATTGATTCGTACATCAAGAAGGACGAGAAGATTCCTCAGGAAGGGGCGGAGAGTGAAGGGTTGGTTACAGGACGGGGTGACGCGGAGGCTGCTGGTGCTGAGGAGAGGGGAAGGGGAAGAGGGGTTTATGATATCATCAGTGGGAGTGATGACGCTGGTAGTTCCAGGGATGGTGATAGTGATGGGGAGGAAGAAGAGGAGGATGAGGATGAGGATGAACTTCCCAAGGACAAAGTTGCTGAGGTGGTCGGTCATAAAAAGAGGGGGTTCAAGACCAGGACTAAAGCAGTGAGAGAAGAGGAATATGATCCAGCGGTGGATGGAGATACCCCGACCGTCATTGGGAGTAGCTCCAGTGCGGTGTCGGGTGTGTCGGTGAAGGATTGAAGGAGTCTGATTTCTATTCACGATTGAGAGGGGATGAAAGGACATGTTAGTTGACCCGCCTTTCGTCTGACGTCTTGTCTGGCGTTATCATCTCTTGTTACGGTTCTCCTCCCATCCCATCCTTTTATTATAATTTTCATCCCTTTGGAGCCCGAAAAAACGAAACATGGCAAGCAGGCAGGCAGGCAGTTTAGCGAAGGTTCCCCCAAATGAGATCCTGGGAAACCTATTTTACATCAGTCAGTCAGTTATGTCCCTTTACAAAGACGGAGAAGGAGAAGGAGGAGAAGGAGAAAGAGGAGGAAAACAGCATCCATCAAATCAGCATTATTATATATACATACGTCTGTTTACTGGGTTAAGCATGGAATGGATGATTATAGGTAACCAGCCAGGCATTGAATTGAATTATAAGCGTTTCTCTTGGGAAATAGTGGTAGTAAGTAGTATAGTTAAGATGAACATCAAGGAAGAAGAATCATCAATTCATCCGATTGACTAGACTAGGTAATGCAGAAATTTCCTTTGTTGTCTTGCTTGTATTTACTCACACGTAAATGTCTTTCCTTGGTTTGAAGGCACCGTCCAACTTTGCTCCCGTCTGTGCCACATTTACAGCAAACATGGTACTTGTTTTTTGCTTCTTTTTCCTTTTTCCTTGTTTTGACTCTCTCTTCACCCTCTGCTCACCCTTTTCTCACTTATTCCCAACCAACAAGTAGTAGTAGTCTAATTCCCCGCACTCACTCACTCACTTACTCACCCACCCACCCACCCCTCTTACCCCCCCCTCTCTTCACACATATAACTCCTTAGTATACTAAGCTTGTATTTGAACTAGTTGCTACAAAGTTAACTATCCTTCCTAGACCCCAATGTTATATATATCGTCATCATCATCCCCACTACTTTCACTTTCTCTCTCATCTCATCACTCTCAGTTCCGTCACCAGCAACTATGGTAGTACATAGCAATACAAATAATACATAATGAATGACAAGAACAACTGATCTAAAAGGATATGAATGATATCATCAGCTAGCGGAACCTAACTAGGAAATAACAAAAAACAAAACACGCTATTTCCCTTCCAACCCGGCCCCTTGCTCCCCTTCCCCGCCCCTTCCAGTGCGCGGATATGGTATATCAGATAATCATAGGTATAAGAACAGAAATGTGGAATAAACAAAACGACAAAATGACCCATTAAGTAATCCATTTCCTTCCTTCCCTTCCTTGCTTCCTTTCCTTCCTTTCTCATCATCCATCATCTTTCGTTCCGCCTCTCCATCATCCATCCCCCTCCCCCTCATATCACCAGACCTTCTCTTTCTCACTCACACTCACATACTCACAACATAGAGGTACTCACCTCCCACCCCTCCCAAACTGTCCTCCACCAATAACCTGCCCCCCCGACGTCCCCGCCCCAAACGGCAACTTGGGCACCGGCGGCACCACACTCTGCCGCTTATTCACCCTCAGTCCTCCACCACCACCACCATTATCAAAACCAGCACCAAGACCAAACTTCTGATTCACGCTCTGTCTCACAATCATGGCAGCCGCCGCCGCCGCCGCCATCCTCTCCTTCTGCCGATGTCTTTCCTTCAAATAATGCGCAGCCTCAGGCCTCATGCGGAGAATACGCAGAATCATATCATCTGACGGATCGGCCTGCGCTTCTTTGCGCTTCTCCAGTTTGGCTTGGCGCATAGTTCCCAGGTTGCGAGACATCATGATACTCTTGCCGCGACGAATGGTGCCAAGGGAGCCAAAGGCGCCGATGGCTGCTGCGCCAGTCATCCCGCCAGGCGGGGCTAGGGAGTTGCTGTTGTGGTGGTTATTGGAGTGAAGTTGGGGCGGAGCAGACATGCGGGAACCGGCTCCGGCGGCGGCGGCAGTAGCCTGTTGTTGCTCGCGCGCGCGCTGGGCGTTGGCGGCTGCCATGCGCTCCGAGGTGCGAATGAGGTTCTCGGTCGAGTCAAAGTAGAAGAAGTTGAGCGAGGCGAGCTCGTGCCACTTAGGCGACTTGAGCACGTCCGAGGGCACGCCGAGGACTTCGCCTGTGTGGGCGTCCTTGGCGTTGAAGAAGTTGAAGAGCAGCTCGAGCCAGCGGTAGACAATGTCCATCTCGGCTTGGGTGAGGGGTTTTTGCGTCGAGGGTTTGTCGGATAAGGGGGGCACCAAAAGGTTTTCGATGGCCATGAGGACTTCTTTCCAGAGACGCGTCATGACGGCCACCATGGTTGCGTCCGTGAGGGTTTGTTTCATGATGGCAAAGTTTTCGTCAAAGTAGGTGAAGAGCGGCTGGAGCGTGTTTTCGACGTCTTGGGCAGTGACGGTGGGTGCGGTAGATTGTCGCTTTTTCCAGAGGTTGGCCATAGAGGCGGCGATACCTCGGCTGAGGAGGCTCTTGAGGGTGTCGTGGGAAAGGGAGTGGTTGATGTGGGAGGTCAGCTAGGACTGCTGTTAGTATTATTGCTGCTGATGACAAGGTGAAAGAGACGCGGCGTTCGACTTACCTTGTCGGTGATCTTGCGAACCATGTCACGCTCAGTTCTCTTCAAGTGCCTGAAGGCCTTGCCAAAGTGGAACTGGATATCATCACGCTCGCCCTCCATGCTCACACGCAGCAACAGTCTTCCCTGGGTGTCAAGATCAAGCCAGAACTCTCTGGGGAGGTAGTCGCTAAAGTGCACGGGGTCAAGCTTCAACGAGGTACGCCCGACGAAATCATGGTCACCAAAGGTATCATAATCCCAAATGGTGGCGATGATGTTAAGGGGGCCCGATACGGTAATATCGATCGACTCGTCCCACCTCGGGTTGAGGTTCCTCATGATGATTCTCGTCTTGGCCAGACGCTTTTGGTACTCGTCACACAGAACCACGTACGGATCACTATACCCACCGGGGTCGCATGCTTTCAAGTCCTCGGCCTCTACGATCTTGATCGTGAACACATACTTGCCTGCTTTCCTAACCAGGGGCTTGATGCCTTCGACCCGGCGGATCGCCTCGGCACAGCCGTCTACGTTCATGGTCTTTTCTAGCTTATCCAGCGCTTGCATGGCATATTCAATGTTGTTGAGTTTGACAAAGGACTGACACGAAGAATTAGCCTACAGTCACACTAGGAACTCACAATGTGTGGTACATACCTGTGGATAGAACTGGAAAGGCTCGACCTTGTCCTTCGAGTTCCACGCATCCTTGGCGTACTGAAGAAACCGATCTTGCGCCGACCTGCTAGCAGCGGCCTCTTGAGGAGTCTGACGGTCCATTTCTTTGGCAAAATGCTGCTCCACAATCTCGCAATAACGACCAATGCCTGCTGAGAAGGCTTTGGCCAGTGCAGTCATGAACTTTGCGTGGTGAAGCTCGTCATCCCAGTCAAGCTGGTGAATCTGGTTGACGGTCTGGGTGAACAGCGTAAAGGTGTCGATGATGGAGACACTGTGGCGTTGCTCATCGGTGGGGATATCGTCGGGGTCGTTCGTCCTGACCTGGAAGGTGTCCTGTTTGATCGCTTGCTCCACAAAGTCGGTCATTCTAGCTTCGGCATTCCTAATCCATCGCCAGACAAAGTCTTCGAGGAGGCTTTCGATGTGGAAAGCAAAGGGCTTTCCAGGTAAAGACTCGACGTGCATCTTTCTAATCTCCACAAGTTCCTTGTACAAATCGAAGCCGTCCTGAACATCGATTTGGCCTTCCTCACCGCGGGTCTTGCTCATATCCACGACACGCTTGATGAACTCTTGTGCATCTTCCTCAAAGCTGGGGAAAATGGTCTCGACCAGGACCTTAAATGGACTAGCACCCATGATTTCGGGGTTCTTGCGATATCGCTTCTTAATCTTCTCCGCAAGACCGACCACAGCCTGGCCGAGCTTAACGACATGGGCAAAGTTCCAGTCTTCCATGTTGGAAGGAATGTTGGCATCCAGGAAACCTCGGTAAACCTCGGCAGCTTTTTGACGCAGTCCGTTCTCGAGATGCTGGGTATATTCGGCCATTTCGTCTGGGCGTTCGGTATATGTAGGGTCATTTTGGACGTGATTCGTGAGTACCGACATTACAACACCGACTGATGGTGGATTAGGCTGGTAGCACTGAATCAAGAGCGTGTAGAGTTCGCGCAACAAAGCGTCATGGAGGTCCTTTATGGATTGCTGATAGCCCGCAAAATCCGTCATTGTCCATCGGCCTGGCTCAACATCAAAAAGAGTGGCGCCGAAAAAGTTGATTGGGGGCGGCTTCTTTGGCTCCGGCTGAGCCTCCTTGACAAAGTCGAGGCAAGCATCAAGCTGCATTGTGGAAATTTCTTGATCGAGGAACTTTCGTACGGCAACCTCGACGAGCGTAACGTGGCGCATAAACTGGGGGATGCGCCATCTAATGGCCAACTCGGTCAAAAACTCGATGGACTCCTCTGCGAAGGGGAACTCCTCAGAGTGCAGTTGGTCGTAAGACATGACATATTGTAGAATAGTCTTGTAGACGGGCCGTGGGTCTACTGGCATAAAGGTATAACTCGGCTCGTCCACACTTCGAATGCTGGAATTATCGTCAGGAGACATGGGGCTGAAGCCAGACGACGGATCAAAGCCAAAGCTACCCGAGCTGCGGTTCGAAAGCATCTTGCTCAAGTCGGAAAATGCCTGATCCTCCGAATAAAGCGACATGGGCCGTAGTGGGAGGGGCTTATCCGAGCCGGAGCCGGTCTTGAGATCTGGACGGATACTCAGAATTTCGGCAAAGATTTGGGCCAATTGCTGGGTCTCGGTTCTCTTCCAGTCCTCAAATGCATCATCCACGTCAAAGTCCAATTTTCGCAGAGTACCAGCCATGTTTGCCGACAATCTGAATTGGTAGTTTTTGAAGTCTTTTAGGGCCGCCTCTTCGGTCCATGTGGTCATGTTTTTGTCAATGTCATTCTGAACCTGCGAGTTGGGCAAGCCAAAGATCTTGGCAACAAACAGAACCATGGGCATGTCCTTGATCTCGTAACTCAGGGGCACCTCGACTTCAACAAAGGTTGAACTCTCTTGGCCCTTGTCCAAGGACAGATTCTGGTCG